TTCCTTTGCTCAAAATACATTTATTGTAAACAGTGTCCCAGTCAATAGGCGCTGGGGATACAGTGAGGGTCTGGCACTGCTCTTGGTCTCAGAAAGAATAGATGCACTTTGTCTGGATGCACCAAGTTAATGAGACTGCCCTCACCCTTGTCTTAGTGGCGAATCAGATACCTTTCGGCCTAATTCAGGCAAGTGCTAGCCCTCCCTCCATTCTTTCACACAAAGCCATATTTCTCCATTTCAGATTCCAGTGGTCTGTGTGGGATATCAGTCAAAGCCACTGGCCTAAAGGAGATTCAGTCTTCACCAAGTGGGCCTGGGCTCTGGACCAGACAAGCAGTTTGGGGAGCATCGCAAGATATGGACCTTTTTTTATTAGTATTACAATATGGCTTTCATATGTTTAAAAGAACAATGGCTCTAGAATTGTTTTCTGTAATGTTTACTGCAATTTATAAATATTTCAGTTGTATCATAGAGGTCATTGACTCCTAGGGGCTGTTCTGAAAACAAAACCATTATTTGTACCACTATATCTAAGACCAATTTCTGAGAGTTCCAGATATCTAGCTCACTGTTACATATAATATATATAATATATTTGGGAGCCAAATATATATATATGTAACAGTGAGCCATATATATATATATCAGGCAGTGTGGCAGTGTTTGAAGGGTATAGTACTTTGAGGAACCATGAAGGTATGATTGGTTGCTTGAACAGTAAATTGTCGTAGACTGTTCTGCCTTTTGAGTTCTTGTGCCAATGTTTTAAAGCAGTTTTATGTAGTTCTTCACTTTCAGCTGCCTCCTTTTTACCCCTAAATTCAGAGTTTCCATCTCTGGCAGCATTCTTTTTCTTCACCCAGGCAGTCTGCTTTCTGATTGGGATACAGATGTGGTCCAGCCTCTATTTCTCATGTAGTGAATCTTACATTCAGGTGGATAAATTGAACCAGAGAATATAACATACTCAATAGATAAAGTGATACCTGAAGACCTCACAGAGGAGTAAAACTGGTCTGACTCAACCCCAGAAGCCCATGACTATAAGAGGCTGAATATATCTTAGTGTCCCCTGCCCTTGGGTCAGAGCACTCCCAACCCAGAAGAAAGTCATAAGACCATTTCCTATAATGAATTCACCAGTACCAATCAACCTGAACAGCACTAAAGTTATTCTTTAAACAAACAGTAGAACTCCTCTGTGCTGCAATCTGGACCATACATGTTTGTAGGGTAGTTCTTTATCAACTTTATTTCTTCTATGAATATTTGCCTATTATTCCATGTATTCAGGAGTCTCTTTCGTTAAATTATATTTTCCTGGAAAGTTGTCCATTATTCCAGGTTCTCATCAAAACTTGGATTGCATAGACATCTGAAAGTTAAAATGTTAACAAATTAACTCTAGTTTCTGCTCCACCCACTCATTCCTCCCACCCCAAATCTTCCCTATCGGTCTAACTGGCACCACCACCCATCCAACTGCTAAAAGACAAAAATCTAGGAGTCATCCTTATTTCTGCTTCCTTTGCCTATTCCTTCCATCTATCAGTAATTTATTAATTCTAGCTCCGAAACAGATCTGGAATCTCCATTTTTGTCCACCTCCAATGCCTTCTTCTTCTATTCTTCCCCTCACCTTCTATTCTTTACTTCCCCAATCAATTCTCAACACAGTAGCTAGAATGTTTTTCTTAAAATATAAATCAGATTATATTACCCTCACCCTCAATGCCTTTACTCAAAACCCATCCAAATTTTCCTTCACCCTTAGTGAAGGAAAAAAATTCAAACTCCTCAACAAGGGCAATGAGGCCTTACCTCATTGAGAGTCGACCATATTCCCAACTTCATTTCAAATAACTGTCCCTATACCACTGTGAGTCAAGAACTTGAGTTCTCAAAGATGTCAAGTTCCTCCCCACCCAATTTGGTTGCTGTAAACTGTTCCCAAGTCTATTCACCTTAAATGTCACTTCCTTAAAGAAACCTTTGATGAGCATCCTATCTGAAATTGATACTTTACACCAGTGGTCGGCAAACTCATTAGTCAACAGAGCCAAATATCAACAGTACAATGATTGAAATTTCTTTTGAGAGCCAAATTTTTTAAACTTAAACTATGTAGGTAGGTACATTGTTATTAACTTAATTAGGGTACTCCTAAGGCTTAGGAAGAGCCACACTCAAGGGGCCAAAGAGCCGCATGTGGCTCGTGAGCCGCAGTTTGCTGACCATGGCTTTACACTATTACTCTCTGCCAAAACACCTTGTTAATATCCCTCAAAGCATTTAGTAACTTGCAATTATTTTTGTTTATTTGTCTTCTTTTTCCTGTTTTCCTTCAGGGAATTTATTTTTAATGGGGGTGGGAGAATGTCTGTGTGATAACCATTGTATTTCCACATTTTGCATAGTGCTTGGCAGCAGAGCAAGCACTCAATTGTAAATGTTTAGTGAATTAATTACCCAGATCCAAGAGGATAATAGCTAAATGGGAGATACTGTGAAAGAGGAGAGCGCTCAGTGAAGAGCTGTAATATGGACAACATATCTGTTAGTGCTTGCTTCTCCCACTCCAGTACACACCATCTGAACAAAGCTAGTCTTGTACCTACCCCAGGAATGTGATAATAAAACTGGACTTTGGCTTTCTTCAGGAAGGCTGAATTGCATTAAGCCTGGAAGAAATTAGTCCATCTCATTATATTCACATTAGGCAATTAAAAATAGGAATATACATATTATGTATATACATAAACAGAGTTATTTCATAGATTGTTATCTATGTGAGCTGAGAGAGTCGATGGCCAATCTAGGATACTGACATAAGAAATTAATATTTTACTTGATTCTATTTTATGCATCGTCTGCCAATACCACTAGCTCACACATACACAGAGGTATTTCATGACCACAACTCAAATCACTGAATCCCAATCTCTTTGTAGCCCTGTGCTAGGGGCTGAAATAATCTAGTCTGAGAAATGTCCTCATCTCCCTAGAAAATTACATAAGGCCAACACTAATGTGCCAACATGACAAAGGGATGACACTGGATACTGACCAGATCCAGATACTGGATATCCACCCAGATAATTAACTTCTCTAAAGCTCGTGGCACTTCAAGCGCTTAGCCTAGAGCCTGGCCCAGTCAGCATTCAGCATGAGCTAAGAGCATCACCATCCTCTCTCATATGTAAGCCACAGGGTGGTTTCCTTGGGTGTTTGGAAGAAAGGAGAGCGAGTGCAAAACCCAGAGGGATGTATATTGAAGCAGTCTGTTCTTTGAGGTATTCTAAATCCACACAGGGGCCTATTAACAAGGAAGATGAATGTAAATAGTAATTAGTATCCTACAATGTAATCTGTGTGAACTAGAGAGACAGTGATCTAAAATCTGGGCTTCAGTCAAAATAAGTGACTTCTCCAGGTTTCAGAAGACTAGGGGGCATATTCTTCTCTAATGCTTATTATAGTGTTGCTTTATAACAGCATTTCTCAAACTGTGAATCTTTGGAACTCTAAAGGGACCCACCTCCTTTCCTTGGGGACCTCTAAGGAAACTAAGCGTCCAAAGGTTCTGTGAGGTCAAAATGTATTTTGGCAAATGGTAATAATAATAATAAGACATTACATGCTTTTTTAATTCTTACTCGCTCATGAATATACAGTTGAATTTTATAGAGGCTGCAGGATGTGATATCACAACAGATTGAATTCAGAAGCAGACATGAGAATGCATCTGTCTTCTATCAGGCCAGACATTAAAGAAATTTGCAAAAACATAAAAAAGCGCTACTCTTCTCACATTTCCTGCTTTCAAAAATCTGCTTATTTTTCATAAAAATCTGTTACTTACATAAATATGTACAGATTTATTTGTTATTTTTAATATATGTTTTTTAAACCCAAGTGTCAATGTTTTAAAAATATATTTATTTGATTGATTTCAGAGAGAAAGGGAGAGGGAGAGAGAGATAGAAACATCAATGATGAGGGAGAAGCATTGATTGGCTGCCTCCTGAAGCTGGGAAGGACTGAACACCCCCACCCTAATTTAGACCTTTGGGTGCTGCCCCATGACCTCCACCAAAGCCCATGTAAGGAGCTAAGTCCTTAAGGACTAAAGTAAAGTTCTCTGAAAAAAAAAATACAATGGAAATTATCTTTAAAAAAATTTTTAAGTTTAAGAGTCCCTAATTCCGAGAAGTTTGAGAACTATTCGAACTTGGGGCACTCAGTAAAGAGGTTCTAAAAGCATATCCCCTTTGAGAACACATGGAGAGCGATGTGCGTGTGAAAGAATTTTGAAAATCCATGGTCTGTACTGTCATTATTACTGTGCTAAATGGAGTAACAGGGGAGGAATAACTCAGATTTCTAAAGTGTTGTTTGGAATACGTGGTGCAAGCAGAATACTGTCCATCCTAAAACCACCTGACTTAGATTTCTGTGACAGAGCTGGTTCTCAACTGGCAGATACAGCTTTAGCCACTGCAAGTTTACACAGGGATCCAAAACGCTAGGCTTCCTCCCAGGCAGAAGCACTGCCCCTCCCTCCACACAGTCCCTTCAGAGGGACTGAAGCAGCAGCCGCAGAATGTGAGGAGGATAAAGCCGCTTGTTGTTTTATATGTGTGTGCTCTTGATCGAGTCGATTGTACCAGGAACACAATTCCGTATACAACTGAAAACGAACTGTTTACTCACAAATCTAAATATTTTGCTCAAAGTCTACCCACTTTCATTTTTTTAAATAAATCAACTTGGATCAAAAACACTGCAATTTGGATGACCCTGTTCCGGCTTTTCAAAATTTACACTTCTAGTGGATGTCCGAAGCCCCACTCTGCTCAGAGCGCCACAGAAGTGGCCGGTTTAACAAGCAGCAGCTACAGGGCTCCTGTGTGGAGTTTTACCAACATCAGCCCCCTCTACCTCACACTTCAAGTAAGATACTTCTAGAAAGAATATTTTTTTAAAAAAAATACCTCAGCATTTGCAGATCGCAGAATGATTTCAGATCAGCGGCCTGTTTCCCCCAAAACTCCTACAATTGAACAAAGGTTGCCTTTAAGCAGTAAGCTGTTATTCCACCCTGGAACAGATTCTCATAAGTCACAGAGAACGTTGTAAACACAAAGAACTTACCAGAACATCCTTCTCAAGGTGTTTCAGAGCTTGCATATCCTTCTCAAGGCTGGTCAGCTCTCGAAGAACAATATTGTTAAACTGTTCTAGTTTATTCAGCCTGATAAAGGTAAAAGGAACAGATCTCATGGGACTGCTTGGCTGTGGCAAAGACCCTCTTAATCCTCTTCCTGCAGGGATATGTCACATTCATTTTAAGAATACATGTCTCTCTTCCCTCCCCTCACTGCCTGCCCATCCTCACCCCTAAACGTACTATGCCAACTTTGATTTAGCCTTTCAACAGGAGCCGGAGGAAGCTGGTATTTTAAATCATACTTTGCAGAGCAAAGGAGAGAGGACTCAGGGAATGGGGGCGGACGCCAGGCCTGGGCCAGCAGCAGCCGCAGTCCCACTAACCACGGCTCCCAAGCTTCCTACCTCCCCTTGCTCCCCTTTTTCTTGCGTAAGCGGGCTCTGAAAACTGAAATTGGCTAACTTTTTTTTCCATCTCTACGTTTTCATTTTGGAATTTATAACAGTCACTATTCTGTGTCCAACCACCATATAAACTGCTTATTTGTTCGCTTGCTTCTTGTTTGTCTTCTCCGTTGGGCGGGAGGCTCTGCGAAGGCAAGCCGCCCTAAAGTTTGCTTCCCTGCACTTGTGCATGGAGTGCAGAACCGGCACTCAGCGAGCACCGCTATGTGCATTTGCTGAACAAAACGATGAGTAAAGCCCTGACTGGGTGGCTCAGTTGGTTGGGCATCATCCTATGCACCAAAAAGGTCCCGATTCTATTCCCCCTCAGGGCACGTTCCCAGCTTGCGGGGCTCCATCCCCAGCAGGGGGCGTGTAGGAGGCAGCTGACCCATGTTCTGCTCTCACTTGGTTGTTTGTCTTTCTCTCTCCCTCTCCTTCCTTTCTCTCTAAAAATCAATAAAACTATTTTTTTTTTAAATGAATTCATGGATTGGAACAAATAGGAGAACCAAGATGGCGGCATAGGTTAACGCTGGAGTTTGCTGCCTTGAACAACTACTTCAAAAGTGAAACTAAAAGATGGAACGGACATCACCCAGAACCACAGGAACGCTGGCTGAGTGGAAGTCCTACAACTAGGAGGAAAGAGAAACGCATACGGACACTCAGAGGAGGCGCAGTGCTGAAGTCAAATACTGAGGTGCGGAGTGCACGGAGCGGGCTGGCGGTGGAGGGCGCGGTTGGCGTTTTCAATCGGGAGGGAGTCGCAGACTCTGAGCTCCAGATCCGGGCGAGTCTTTAGGGACCCAGACTCAAACGGGAGAAGCGGGACTGTCTGGCTTCGGTCAGAGCGAGTGCAGCTTTCTCTCCGAGGTTTGCAGCGGGTGCTGGGACTCAGAGAGGCAGAGCCCCTGGGGACAGGACTGAGAGCCGCCATAACTGCTCTCTCCGGCCCACCCTGTTGATCCTGTTCGACCCGCCCCGCCCAAGCCCTGCACAGAGGCATTTGCCGGATAGCCTCAGGCAAAGGCTAGATTAGCACCTCCCTAGAGGACAGAAGTTCTCTCACTGCAGACACAACTGATTCTCATAGCCACTTGGCCTGGAGGTCAAACCTTCCCTCGTATTAGCTACAACAATCAAGGTTTAACTATAAGGCTGCGAACAAAGAGCACTAGGGGGTGCACCAAGGAAGCATAACAAAATGCGGAGACAAAGAAACAGGACAAAATTGTCAATGGAAGATATAGAGTTCAGAACCACACTTTTAAGGTCTCTCAAGAACTGTTTAGAAGCCGCCGATAAACTTAATGAGATCTACAAGAAAACTAATGAGACCCTCGATGTTATATTGGGGAACCAACTAGAAATTAAGCATACACGGACTGAAATAACGAATATTATACAGACTCCCAACAGCAGACCAGGGGAGCGCAAGAATCAAGTCAATGATTTGAAATGCGAGGAAGCAAAAAACACCCAACCGGAAAAGCAAAATGAAAAAAGAATCCAAAAATGCGAGGATAGTGTAAGGAGCCTCTGGGACAACTTCAAGCATACCAACATCAGAATTATAGGGGTGCCAGAAGATGAGAGAGCGCAAGATATTGAAAACCTATTTGAAGAAATAATGACAGAAAACTTCCCCCACCTGGTGAAAGAAATGGACTTACAGGTCCAAGAAGCGCGGAGAACCCCAAACAAAAGGAATCCAAAGAGGACCACACCAAGACACATCATAATTAAAATGCCAAGAGCAAAAGATAAAGAGAGAATCTTGAAAACAGCAAGAGAAAGAAACTCAGTTACCTACAAGGGAGTACCCATACGCCTGTCAGCTGATTTCTCAACAGAAACTTTGCAGGCCAGAAGGGAGTGGCAAGAAATATTCAAAGTGATGAATACCAAGAACCTACAACCAAGATTACTTTATCCAGCAAAGCTATCATTCAGAATTGAAGGTCAGATAAAGAGCTTCACAGATAAGGAAAAGCTAAAGGAGTTCATCACCACCAAACCAGGATTATATGAAATGCTGAAAGGTATCCTTTAAGAAGAGGAAGAGGAAGAAAAAGGTAAAGATACAAATTATGAACAACAAATATGCATCTATCAACAAGTGAATCTAAGAATCAAGTGAATAAATAATCTGATGAACAGAATGAACTGGTGATTATAATAGAATCAGGGACATAGAAAGGGAATGGACTGACCATTCTTGGGGGGGAAAGGGGTGTGGGAGATGCGGGAAGAGACTGGACAAAAATCGTGCACCTATGGATGAGGACAGTGGGTGGGAAGTGAGGGCGGAGGGTGGGGCGGGAACTGGGAGGAGGGGAGTTATGGGGGGGAAAAAAGAGGAACAAATGTAATAATCTGAACAATAAAGATTTAATTAAAATAAATAAAATAAAATGAATTTATGCACGCCCCTTAAAAGATGATGGAAGTTCCACGAGTCCGAAGTCCCTCACGGGCTTGTTTTGAGACTCAAATGACAGTACATGCATGTATAAATGTTTGAAAAAAAATTGTAAATTTCTATTCATGTTATATATTCTGCCCTAAGAAGCTTTCTACTTCGGTTAAGCAAATCGGCCTGCCATCACCTTCTTCCCCATCTTCCCTTACAGGCCATTCTCTCCAACAGGAACCATCTCTATACTCACCTTCCCTATTCCATTCAAATCTGTTTCCAAAACCTCACTCCAGAAGCACTTCCACTGTAATCACTCTGGATCAACTCCAGTCACTACAGAAACCCATCTCCCCATTCGCACTTCTTGTCCTTCACATCTGTCTGAAATCTCAGCTCCTTTTTACTCCTTGCTACATGGTGACAAGGGTCTGTGTGTGCATGAGTGTGTAGTATTATTTTTTATTGTTGCAAAATATACATAACATAAAACTGACCCTTTTGATCATTTTAAGTGTACAATTCAGTAGTGGTAGGACATTCACAATGTTGTGTGGCCACCGCCACTCTCCATTTCCAGAATTTTTCCATCATCCCAGATAGAAACTCTTTATTGACTAAACAATAACTACCCATTTCCCACTCCCCCAACTGCTGGTAACCTCTATTTCACTTTATGTCTCTATGAATTTGCCTATTCTAGGTACTTCATATAAGTGGAGTCACATAATAATTGTCCTTTTATATATTTCACTTAAAATAATGTCCTCAAGATTTATCTATGTTGTAGCTAATATTAGAATTCCATTCCTTTTTTAAGTTGAATATCCCACTGTATGTCTATACCACATATCACTTATCCAGCATTTTTACACGCTTGCCCTGTCTTCACAGTTGGATTATGAACTTTTGAAGAATACAGGCAGTCCTCGGGTTACGTCAGACTCGACGTATGTCGTTTCGTGATTATGTCGCCATCTCCCATTTATTTATAAAAAAAAGTTCCATCATTTCAACGTATGTACATATGTGCTTTATGTTTTTAATTATTTGTTTACCACAAGTAAAGGTCAGGAATTGTTATCTTCCTTTTACATTTTTTTTCACTGTTTCACTTCATTACTGCTGTGTATGTGCTCCATGTGAATGACGTAGGTGCTTATGTAGGTGGGTTCCAACTTATGGCGAAAATCACATTATGTCGCACCGTAGTAGGAACGGATCTCCGACGTAACCCAAGGACCTACTGTAGTCGTTTAGAACCATATAACGGTATGCCATAAAGAGGCTTAAGAAGGGCCTTCAGTTCAGTCCCTCATCTTATGAAGAACCAGACACCTGGAAGGGTTAAGCAATGTATCAAACCTCACATCTTCCCGAGCTCCAACTCCTCACGACCCAGCACAGTGGTCGTGAGACAAACATTTGTGAGCAATCACACTTTTATAAACTTATTTTGAAAGCCAATACTTACCTACAGTGATGTATCTGGTTTAAAAGTTTTATTAGGCAGCTCGGTGCTTGCTTTGCATATTCTGAATAAAGTGCACTCCTTCTGTACCTAAGCTAAACCATAATAACAATACAAGATCACATTTGGGTCAACCATAACCACACAAAATGAGTGCAGGCTTTGTATTAAAAAGATTTTGACAGCACACAACATACTTAGCAAATATTACTGCTAACGAACAGTGAAAAGGTGCAATGCTACACACCTCCCGTGTACTACCTCAGGGCCAGTACCAATACAGAATAAGCTAAAAAAGGAAAAGTTGCATTCATACTATTGCAACACATATTGAATATCATGTACAACTTTCCATTGTAAATTAGCTTATAGAGTATTGTAGAAAATAAGACTTTGGAGATCTTCCAACTTAGTTAAATGAATGTGTATTAGTGTAAGATAGTTCTCTCAAATGTGCTATTAAATAACTCTAGGGATATACAAAAATAGGACAAAAAAGAGGAGACTGAAATGGTTCCAAAGTTCATCTGGCAGGTACAGTTTTGGGACAGCCTACAGGTGCAGTGTCAGGTAAGCCACCACTCTGCTGGGCACCCTCCCACAGCCTAACCCCATCTTTGTCCCAGACACCTCTCTTAGCCACATGCCTTCTTCTCCTGAATCCTCCTTGTCCATCACTGTGACAAAATCATTGCTTCCTGCTAGTTTAGTTGTCTGAGAATGCCATCAGTCCTAACCATGAGTCCAATTTGCACACAGTCCTTCTGGTCCCATGGCAGCAAATGAACATGAAGTAGCTCTCTTATAAATACAAACCACAATTCACCAAGACTCTGAAGTCAGGGGCCACAGCTAAGACAGACTCAGGAATACTTGCACACATGAAAGATAACGGTATTAATAAATAACATGAACCTGTTACTTTAAACTCATAACAAGCTAGCTTTTCATTGTCAGTGAACCATTACCTCACATTTTCTTTCCAGTTCTCTAGTGAAGTTCTCAAAGGTTGTGATAACAGCAGAGCTATTCAAGTTCTCCGGCACAACGGCCAGGGGTGGAGTAGAAATGTTTTCTGAACAATAAAAACAGAACATTAAGTAAAATTAACAAAGTGCGAAGTAGATGTGCTTAGTCCATCAGCTGCCGGGAGGATGGAGCGAGGCAGAAGCACACATCCGATCCACGAAGCCCTTGGGTGCCTGGCTTGACTGCAGAGGGCTGACTCTGGCTGATGCCGACAAGGCCAACTCAGGCCCAGAGTCCCCACGGCAGGCGCTTCATGCTGCTTCTTACCAAACCTCCTTCTCTAGCAAGTGCCCGCTTCATCCAAACTTTCCCAGCACTTTACATCAGTGCGACCGATATGATGTCTAAGAAGCAGGCTGAGGTGCAGTAGGTTTTAAGGAGGATGTGATGGGTAGGGCATTTCTATGAGGGAAACACTGGCATAACAACTCTGGATGCCAGGCGTTTCCTGAGAGCACATGAGGGGTCTGGCATCGTTCACAGTGGTCGGCAAACTGCGGCTCGCAAGCCACATGCGGCTCTTTGGCCCCTTGAGTGTGGCTCTTCCACAAAATACCATGTGCGGGCGCGCACGTACAGTGTGATTGAAACTTCATGGCCCATGCGCAGAAGTCGTATTTTGTGGAAGTGCCACACTCAAGGGGCCAAAGAGCCGCATGTGGCTCACGAGCCGCAGTTTGCCGAGCCGCAGTTTGCCGAGCCGCAGTTTGCCGACCACTGTTCTAAGAGATTTGCATGTGTCAACTCCTTTAATCTTCATAAAAACAGAGAGAGCAGATAACTTGTGCAAGCTCACATCAACTGCTTCAGGACTGGAAGCCAGGCTGCCTGGCTCTTCACCACCCTCCAGGACCTCTGGGCTTCCAAATCTGCCTTCTTGGAGACTTGTGTTTCAAAATATAGTGGCGCCACTCATCCAGAAGGCCATCCCCCCAAATGCAGACATTTCAGATGCTCCTCCTTCACTGGTATAGAGTGAATGTATCCACCACAGAAATTTAGTTAATAACTATCAACTAAAGCAGAGACTTATACGTTCAGGAATGCCCAGGCCCTGAAAACTGCCATAAAGACGAGTTAAGAGGCAGAAATCTAAAGGCTAGGGAGGAGATGTGCTGGCTTTTATTGTAATTTGTGCAGCAATTTATGTATCTCTGAAAGGACAGAACGCTTAGTTTTTAGGGCTCTGCAGCTGCTATGATCTTCAAACTGTAACCCCCTGGTAATTCGCGTTGGTACACTCAGTGCTCACACTTTCTCACAGTCTTGCTTGACTGGCTGGCTAGATGCATAGCGTTACCTGCCACGTCTGCTTCTTCTGTCACGGAGGAAAGTGATTCTGGAGCATCATCCTCTTCCACTTTCGACTGTTTCCACTTAGCAAAACTACCATCCGACATGTCTAAAGGCAAGCACAGCACACTCATAACCACACACACATTATTTTTATCCCAAGTTTAGTTAGTCCTCTTTTCGACAGTTAATATCTAACCTTGACGAGCAGTAAGTGAAAGTTCTTCCCTGTTACTAATTACTCACCATTTGGCACATTCAACAAGCATCAAAGCACTAAGTCTACTGATGCCTAAAAAGGACACATGGGAACAGGCCTCCCTTTGAGGAGCTCTGAACCATTAGGAAAGCACAGACTGACTCAGAAAAAAGCAGTAATCATTGGCATCGAAAATACTGCTCCCCTCCATGTCCTGCAAAACAAACAAACAAAACAAAAGAACAACTACAACAACAAACATTTCGCAGGCTCAAGGCTAAATGGCCAGGTAGCAAGGTTTCCAGGCAAATGGGCTTTGGAAGCTCTTCTATCACCCTGCGGAATGCGCCACCTGCTGGTAACACTGGAGCTTTAGGGTTGTACTGAGGGCTACCTTATAAATGAGGTCATTTTGGCTCCTCACCAGCTTGAGACTTTGAGAGCCTCAGCTTATGAGACTTAAATATAGGTTCTCTTTTTAGGCATTTAGTAAATATTTTTTATTCTTTTTTTTTTTTTTTTTTTTTAACATTGACCATTCTTTTTTTTTTTTCTTTTTTTTTTTAATTAAATCTTTATTGTTCAGATTATTACATTTGTTCCTCTTTTTTTTCCCCCCATAACTCCCCTCCTCCCAGTTCCCGCCCCACCCTCCGCCCTCACTCCCCACCCACTGTCCTCATCCATAGGTGCACAATTTTTGTCCAGTCTCTTCCCGCATCTCCCACACCCCTTTCCCCCCCAGGAATAGTCAGTCCATTCCCTTTCTATGTCCCTGATTCTATTATAATCACCAGTTCATTCTGTTCATCAGATTATTTATTCACTTGATTCTTAGATTCACTTGTTGATAGATGCATATTTGTTGTTCATAATTTGTATCTTTACCTTTTTCTTCCTCTTCCTCTTCTTAAAGGACACCTTTCAGCATTTCATATAATCCTGGTTTGGTGGTGATGAACTCCTTTAGCTTTTCCTTATCTGTGAAGCTCTTTATCTGACCTTCAATTCTGAATGATAGCTTTGCTGGATAAAGTAATCTTGGTTGTAGGTTCTTGGTATTCATCACTTTGAATATTTCTTGCCACTCCCTTCTGGCCTGCAAAGTTTCTGTTGAGAAATCAGCTGACAGGCGTATGGGTATTCCCTTGTAGGTAACTGAGTTTCTTTCTCTTGCTGTTTTTAAGATTCTCTCTTTATCTTTTGCTCTTGGCATTTTAATTATGATGTGTCTTGGTGTGGTCCTCTTTGGATTCCTTTTGTTTGGGGTTCTCCGCGCTTCTTGGACCTGTAAGTCCATTTCTTTCACCAGGTGGGGGAAGTTTTCTGTCATTATTTCTTCAAATAGGTTTTCAATATCTTGCTCTCTCTCATCTTCTGGCACCCCTATAATTCTGATGTTGGTACGCTTGAAGCTGTCCCAGAGGCTCCTTACACTATCCTCGCATTTTTGGATTCTTTTTTCATTTTGCTTTTCCGGTTGGGTGTTTTTTGCTTCCTCGCATTTCAAATCATTGACTTGATTCTTGCGCTCCTCTGGTCTGCTGTCGGGAGTCTGTATAATATTCGTTATTTCAGTCCGTGTATGCTTAATTTCTAGTTGGTTCCCCAATATAAGATCGAGGGTCTTATTAGTTTTCTTGTAGATCTCATTAAGTTTATCGGCGGCTTCTAAACAGTTCTTGAGAGACCTTAAAAGTGTGGTTCTGAACTCTATATCTTCCATTGACAATTTTGTCCTGTTTCTTTGTCTCCGCATTTTGTTATGCTTCCTTGGTGCACCCCCTAGTGGTCTTTGTTCGCAGTCTTATAGTTAAATCTTGATTGTTGTAGCTAATTCCAGGGAGGGTTTGACCTCCAGGCCAAGTGGCTATGAGAATCAGCTGTGTCAGCAGCGAGAGAACTTCTGTCCCCTAGGGAGGTGCTAATCTGGCATTTGCCTGAGGCTATCCGGCAAATGCCTGTGTGCAGGGCTTGGGCGGGGCGGGTCGAACAGGATCAACAGGGTGGGCCGGAGAGAGCAGTTATGGCGACTCTCAGTCCTGTCCCCAGGGGCTCTGCCTCTCTGAGTCCCAGCACCCGCTGCAAAGCTCAGGGAGAAAGCTGCACTCGCTCTGACCGAAGCCAGACAGTCCCGCTTCTCCCGTTTGAGTCTGGGTCCCTAAAGACTCGCCCGGATCTGGAGCTCAGATTCTGCGACTCCCTCCCGATTGAAAACGCCAACCGCGCCCTCCACCGCCAGCCCGCTCGCGCACTCCGCACCTCAGAATTTGACTTCAGCACTGCGCCTCCTCTGAGTGTCCGTATGCGTTTCTCTTTCCTCCTAGTTGTAGGACTTCCACTCAGCCAGCGTTCCTGTGGTTCTGGGTGATGTCCCTTCCGTTTTTTGGTTTCACTTTTGAAGTAGTTGTTCAAAGCAGCAAACTCCGGCGTTAACCTATGCCGCCATCTTGGTTCTCCAATATTTTTTATTCTAATATTCATTTGCGCCCCATCCATGCCTTCCTGATCTTATCAAAGGCACCACCATTGTCAAGAGTACACTAGCATTCAGCCTGACTTCTGCTTCTCTTTACTGTCTGCTTCTCTTCCATCATCAGGGTCTGAGGTCCTGCCTGTAGAATGAATCCATATCTCTTTCTACATTCCCACACCGTGACCCTGGAGGATCTCATCAATCCCATAACGTCGTCATCTCCCAAATACCTTTCTTGTCTGAGCTCTCTTAAGCAGCAAACTTGTGTTTCCAATTGCCTACTCAACAGCTCCACCTTGAACCCACTCCTTCCTATCCCTCCTCACCCTAACCACTTTCTTCTCCACCATATACTTAGCCCCTAAACACACACTTACCTACAAAGTCATCTGCTTTCCCCCTTGTCCTCACATATCCGGCTTAATCACTATTGGTTTTCCCTTTGAAAGCTCTAGAATCTAATTTAATTAATTTGCTTAATAAATAATTGAATGTTACTGTGTGCAAAGAGTTGGTACAGTGTGGTAGGAAGACAGTAGAGAAGCGAAGAGGCAAGTTTCTCTTTCTCCACTCTGCTCCTCTACCCTGGTCTCCTTGCAGTTCCTCAGACACCCCAGACACACTCTCACCTAAAGACCTTGGCACTTACTCCTCTAACCTGAGTCCTTCCCCCCTCGTATCTGCACTGAGGTTTCCTCTGGCCATTCAACCGAAAATTTCAATACCACCCCCAACCTCTAAACCTCTTTCCCAATTAATTTTTTCTTAGCCTTGATCACAATATAATATACTACATGTTTTGCTTTTCTTGTGTATTATGTCTCCCCCACTAGAAGGTAAGCTCCAATGAGGTCAGGCATTATTTCTGTTTTGTTCTGTAGAATATCTAACATGTAGAAAAGTGTCTCACACATAACAGACATTCAGTAGACATTCAGAGAGTAAAGGAATGATTGACTGCTGCAGAATATCCAAGCCACTATGAAATAAGATCTTGAATAAGAAATGACATCTTACTTCTGGTCAAGATGGTGATATAGGTTAACATGGTACTCACATCCTCCCACACCACATCAAAATTACAACTAAACTACAAAATCATCATTCAAAACACGCTGAAAACGGACTGAATGGAAGTCCTACAACTAGGGAATTAAACAAAAAGCCACATAGAGATTGGTAGGAGGGGTGAAGACGCAGAATGGGCTGGTCCTAAACCCACTTGTGTTGGATAAAAATCGGGAGGGATATCTTGGCTGTGGATGACCACCCTGAGGAGCAAGGGTCCCAACCCCACACAAGGCCTCCCAGGTCAGGGTTCCAGTACCAGAAAGAGTTCTCATAACTTCTGGCTGTGAAAAACAGCAGGGATTAAGGCTGAGTGAGACGGAGGCTGCTGGAGTCCCAGGCAGTACCTCTTACAGGGCCCACCCATGGACTTACTCAGACTTACGCCCTCTGAGCTCCAATGCTGGGGTGGCAGCTTTCTCCCAGACAGACGTGCTGGCAGAGGCCATTGTTCCTTTGGTGAGCCCACCTCCCATTGATGTGCCAACAGCACTCAAGGCTCAATTACAAGAGAAGGGTGTACACAGCCTATACAGGGAGCACACCTCAGCTTGGTAACCAAAGAGACTGTGCTACTGGACCCTACAGAACACCTACTACATTGGGCCACTTTAACAAGCCTGGGAGACATAGCAGCTCTACCTAGTACATAGAAACAAACACAGGGAGGCTGAAAAAGTGAGAATACAAAGAAACATATCCCAAATGAAAGAACAGAATAAAACTCCAGAAAAAGAACTAAACAAAATGGAGACAGGCAATCTACTACATGCAGAGTTTAAAACACTGGTTATGGGGATGCTCAATAAGCTTTAAGAGCATATGCCCTAACTGGTGTGGCTCAGTGGATAGAGCATCGGCCTGCAGACTCAAGGGTCCCAGGTTCGATTCCAGTCAAGGGCACGTACCTTGGTTGCGGGCACGTACCCAGTGGGGAGTGCAGGAGGCAGCTGATCAATGTTTCTTTCTCATTGATGTTTCTAACTCTCTATCCCTATCCCTTCCTCTCTGTAAAAAATCAATAAAGTATATTTTTAAAAAAAGAGCATATAGAAGAACCAGTCAGAAATGAAAAACACACTAATTGAAATAAAAGTAATTTACAGGGAATCAACAGTAGAGTAGATGAAGCCAAGAATAAAATCAGCAATTTGGAATATAAGGAAGCAAAGAATACCCAAAAGAAGAAGAAAAAATGAGGATAGTGTAAGGAACCTCCGAGACAACCTCAAGCATACCAATACTCACATCATGGGGGTGCCAGAAGGAAAAGAGAGGGAGCAAGAAATTGAAAACCTATTTGAAAAAGTGATAGGAACCTTCCCTAACCTGGTAAAGGGAAGAGACATTAAAGTTCAGGAAGCACAGAGAGTTCCAAACAAGATGAACTCAAACAGGCCTACACCAAGACACATCATAATTAAAATACAAAAGGTCAAAGACAAAGAGAATTTTAAAAGCAACAAGAGAAAAGCAGTTAGTTACTTATAAGGGAGCTCCCGTAAAACTGTCAGCTGACTAACCAGTTTGGCTCAGTGGATAGAGCATCAGCATGTGGACTGAAGGGTCCCGGGTTCGATTCCAATCAAGGGCACATGCCCAGGTTGTGGGCTTGATCCCCACTGGGTGGCATGCAGGAGGCAACTGATTGATAATTTTCTCTCATCATTGATGTTTCTATCTCTCCCACCCTTCCTCTCTGAAATAAAAATACATATTTAAAAAAGAATAATTGTAATATAGAATATTCTAGATATTTGACTTTAAAAAAAAAGAAAAAAAGACTGTGAGCTGATTTCTCAACAGAAACTTTATAGGCCAGAAAGGAGTGGCATGAAATATTCAAAGTGTTGAAAAGCAAGAACCTACAACCAAGATTATTCTACCTAACAAAGTTATCATTTAGAATTGAAGGACTGATGAAGGGCTTCCCATATAAAATAAGCTAAAAGAGTTCATGACCACCAAACCAGTGTTACAAGAAAGGTTTAAAGGATCTTACAGTGGTTCGCAACCTTCCTAATGCTGCGACCCTTTAATACAGTTCCTGATGTTGTGGTGACCCCAACCATAAAATTATTTCAATTGCTACTTCATAACTGTAATTTTGCTACTGTTATGAATCGTAATGTAAATATCTGATATGCAGAATGTATTTTCAGGGGTTGCGGCCCACAGGTTGAGAACTAGGAGAAGGAGAAAAATTTTGAACAATAAAATGGAAATAAATGCATATCTATCACTGATTGCATGTAAAAATAAATAAAAAAATGAACAAGCAGAACAGAAACCGACTCATAAAAACAGAGAACATTATGACGGTTGCCAGGGGAGGAGGATAGGGAGGTGGTTAAAAAAGATGAAGGGATTAAGAAGTGCAAATTGGTAGTTACAGAATAGTCACAGGAGGTAAAGTACAGCATAGGGAATCCTATCTAATAAAAGAGAAACATAGTAATTAGCCGTACATCCGCTACCCTTCCCATTGGCTAATCAGGGCGATATGCAAATTAACTGCCAGCCAAGATGGCGGCCGACAGCCAGGCAGCTTGAAGCGAACATGAGGCTTGCTTGCTTCAGTGACGGAGGAAACCAACGTTCCCCGACTGCCTTGCCGGCCTCTGAGCTTGCAGTTTGAAACATTGTTACAAATATAGAAGCTAAACAAAACCCCAGAAACCTGATTTCAGCCAGCAGGGATCTCAGAGCTGGAGTTGATACAGTGTTTCGATTATAGAACCCAAACAAACCAGATACCTGCTTTCAGCAGCAGAGACCTCAGAGCTGGAGCCAGAGCTAAAGCTGGCCCAGAATAAAAAAAAAAAAAAAAAGAAAAAAAGGAGCAGTTGGGAGCTTCAGTCACCCGCCAGCCTGAAAACAGCCATCATCCCCTCATCCAGGCTGGCCAGGCACCCCAGTGGGGACCCCCACCCTGATCCAGGACACCCTTCAGGGCAAACCAGCCGGGCCCCCCCCATGCACCAGGCCTCTATCCTATATAGTAAAAGGGTAATATGCCTCCCAGCACCGGGATCAGCGGAGCTGAAAGGCCTCCCGGCACCGGGATTAGTGTGACAGGGGGCAGCGCCCAAACCCCCGGATCGCCCTGCGGCTCTGTGTGTGACAGGGGGCAGGGCCACAACCTCCCTGTCCGCCCTGCTCTGTTCATGACAGGGGAAGGCGCCCCAACCCCCTGATCAGCCCTGCTCTGTGCCTGATAGGGGGGAGCTCCCAAACGCCTGATCGCCCTGCGTCTCTGTGTGTGACAGGGCCCTGCTCTGTGGGTGATAGAGGGCAGCGCCCCAACCCCCCTCCATGGGCCCTGCTCTGTGTGTGATGGGGTAGAGCCATAACCTCCCCATCGGCCCTGCCCTGAGTGTGACAGTGGCGGCGCCCCAACCCCCTGATCCGCCCTGCTCTGTGTGTGACAGGGGGCGGTGCCCCAACTCCCCTATCGGCCCTGCTCTTTGAGTGACAGGGGGCAGCGCCCCAACCCCCTGATTGGGCCTCCTCTGTGCGTGACAGGGGGTGGCGCCACAACCTCCCCATCGTCCCTGCCTTGAGTGTGACGGTGCCCCAACCCCCCAATTGGCCCTACTCTGAGTGTGACTGAGGGTGGCATCGCAACCTCCCAATCCGCCCTGCTCTGTGCATGACAGGGGGTGGTGCCCCAACTCCCCAATTGGCCCTGCTCTGAGCCCGACCAGGGGCTGCACCTAGGGATTGGGCCTGCCCTCTGCCACCCGGGAGCAGGCCTAAGCCAGCAGGTCGTTATCTCCCGAGGGGTCCCAGACTGCAAGAGGGCACAGGCTGGGCTGAGGGACCCCCCCCTCCTCCCCCGAGTGCACAAATTTTTGTGTACCAGGCCTCTAGTCTATATATATAAAAGCCTAAGTGACTGTTACAACTGGTCAACCAAACAACTGGTTGACCAATCATTCTGACTCACATGCTCAATGCAGGAGCTGCCCTCTGGTGGTCAGTGTGCTCCCACAGCCAACCTCCCCCCATGGTCCCTCCCCCTGGCCAACTGGCCCCAATGGGCCCCGGTCGCCAGCCAGGCCAAGGGACCCCACCCATGCACAAATTCGTGCACCAGTCCTCTAGTATAGTCAATAATATTCTAATAACTTTTCATGGTGTCAGATGGGTGTGAGATCTATCAGGATGATCACTTAGTAAGTAATATCTAATATGTAATATCTAATCACTGAAGGTGTACACCTGAAACATACATAATATAATAATGTATATAAAATGTAATTAAAAATAAAAATGATTTAATAAAAGGACATCTTATATCCTAGAACAGAATCTTGATAAAAGAGATGATTTATTCTAGTTACCTTATATTACTAATAAAGAAATAGAGGAATATCAAAAACTTTAGAGACCCAAATACCTGCTACATAAGTTATAAATAGAAATTAATAAAGTTTAGCATTTTAAGATCTGCTAAAACTACTTTTTGGGAGGAATTGTAAATACACAAATTTTTAGAAATAGCACCACAGTAGGAAATACCAGTCATAGACTTCAAGATAACAAAAGGAAAATAATTTTGCTGTTATAATTATTTTAGAGAATAGTCAATGTTAAAATAATTATATACCAGGTATATAAATAAAATGATCTATGAATGATGAAGTTCGTGGCTTGCTATAATAAAATCTTCATAAACTGAAAACTTCACTAAAGATCACATTCCCACTCTGCAGAACTTGGAAAAGAAAGAGCCCATATCCAGCTTCTCTGTAATAAAAAATTAAATTAAAGCATAACAAATACTCTCAATTTTCAACTCTCAAATACTCTCAACTCCCATAGGAGCCACTATCTCTTCTCTTTGCGCTTAGATTTACAAGAAATGTTCCCATAAAAAAATAAAAAATAAAAACAAAGCTAAAAGAGTTCATCACCAAGCTGAGAGGTTGTCAGTCGCATGCTGACTTGGTTCCATTATGTGCCTGACAATGCGGCAAGCTGCAGAATGATAAAGGTGAGGGAAACAAAACCCCTGGGGTACATATTCATTTGTTTGAAAAGTATAGATGGATATTTTCTAGAGGGTTGCACTGTTTCAAGAAAATAATTCAGCCCTAGCCAGGTGGCTCAGTTGGTTGGAGTATCTTCCCGGACACCAAAAGGTTCAATTCCCTCTCAGGGCACATACCTAGGTTGTGGGTTCAATCCCCAGTCAGGAGGCAATCGATCAATGTTTCTCTCTCACAACAATGTTTATCTGATGCAATTTTAATAAAGCACAGACCCCCCCCCCCAATCTGATTAATTTTTCTTTGTCTAACTCTGCAAAAAGAATTTAGTATTCTCTCACCTCTGTCTTCCAGGTTTTCCAGTTTATGTTTGAGGTTTGCACTTTTCATCAATGAGTCTTCATTTACAGTCTTGAAAAAAAAGGCAAACAGACCACAAATACATGTACATACTTGTTACCAAATAAAACACAAATGATGTTACGTTATCCTTTAAGAAGGAATAAGCCAGTACATTATGCAAATATAACATTAATTCTGGAAAACCCAACAATTAAATGGTACCTTAGATACATTCTGTTCTTCTGAGTGCTCCAGTGAAGAGACACTGCTCGGTGGGTGGGGGCTCTCAAGTTCTGAGTATTAGAGAGAACAGTTTCAAGGGAATGACACACTACGAAGCAACTTCAGGCGCTAACACTTCACTGTCCCTCTACATAGTAAATCTCACCGTCAAAAACAATGGGACACAGTACCAACTGAAAGAAAGGAAACCCCAAACTTCGTATCTTTCATGGCAAGTATGGCTACTGGGTGAGCAGTTCACCTGAGAGGCCCTAAGATGCACTGTAGATAAAATGAATAGCCACTTCCTTCAATTAGATCAGCACTTTTAATAGATGTGATCTGGCCCCAAATTCATGGGCCAGGATTCTACTGCCTCAACACTGTGGTCCCTCTCCTTCTCTCTCTTAGTTCCACTCCCCTTTTTCCTCTTAGTCTCTACTGCTAATTTTCCTCTCTCCTTGTTTCTTTTCCTTCCTTCTTTTCTGCCAGTGGCAGCCAAGCTGAAAGGTTGTCAGTTGCCTTTCTTGGTGGCATTATGTGCCTGGCAGGATGGTAAGTAAGCTGCAGAATGATAAAGGTGAGAGAAACAAAACCCCCACTCTTACAAGTTTAAAAGATGCAAATAGTTTCAATAAAATACAGTGGTGGTTAAGATAAACCCTATAGGTCAAGGGCTGGCAAACTCTGGCCCCTTATGCCGCTTCTGCTGCCTGGTTTTATAAATAAAGTTTTATAAAATCACAGCTAATGCCCATTGACTTACATCTTATCTGTGGCTGATTTTGTGCTGCAACTGCAGAATTAAATAGTTGCAGCAGAAACTATAGGGTCCAAAAAGCAAAAAATATTTACCATCCAGTTCTTTACCAAAAAAAGTTTACCACTCCCTGCTAGCAAGTCATCATTTGAGTTTCTTATTTCTTTAAAAGAGAACAAAGCATTCATTTATACACAAGCTGATCTCAGCTGTTAAAGTAAAATTACAACTTAATCATCCTCTATCTTTTGCCAATGAGAATATTAAAGAGGAGAACAGCATATTTTCACATTTTCTTTAACAGACAGTAAAAGGAAAACATTTTATTTATTTCAAACTACCTTTCCCAAAATACAACTGTTTTCTATGTAAACCAACAGAAATCAGATACCTGTTTTCTGGGCAGAGGTTTCAGGAATTAAATGGGCAGAACTACCCTGAAATTTTGTTTCAGAAATTTTTGGATGTGTGTCGTCATTTTGCCTGGAGGCACCTTTCCATAATGGTGTTAAAAGTTTAGCCTAAAATATAGTACATTTTAGAAGTGTTAACATTCATAACCACTCAAGACAAGTCATCACAAAGTTCTAAGGCACTTCCATATCCTTTTTAAAAGTTTAAGTGTTGGATTTGCTCCATTTGAAATGGCAAGACTATAAGATCCCAGAGTTGGAGCACATTAGGTCATATATCAATTGATAATTCTAAATAAAAAATAACTCAAAGTCAAAATGTGGTCCCAGCCCACGGCATCAGCAACACCTGGGAACCTGATGGAAATGCAAATTCTCAAGCCTCATCTACTCAATCAGAAACTCTGGGAACGAAACCCAGCAACCTGCATGTTCACAAACCCTCCTGGCCATTCTGATGACCGCTAGAGTTAACCACTGCTCTAAATCAGGTTTTGGTAAATAACATTTTATTTGAACACAACACACCCATTTGTTTCGGTTTTGTCCAGGGCAGCCTTCGAGTTACAATGGCAGAGTTGAACAGTTGCCACAGAAACCATATGGCCCACAGAGTTGAAAATATTTACTCTCTGGCTGTTTGCAGAAAAAGTTTGCTGGCACCTGCTCTAAATTATTCTCTTATACTCCAACACAGAGAAGTGGATTTTGAATACCACTATTTGTACAAAGTCAGCAATGCCCTCCATAGACTTCTCATCACTTGCACAGCTTAAATTTATGGGTTCTCGGAGCTTTGACGTTTCTTTGGTGCTTATTTAAAACATAAGGTGTATTTACTAAACACTGTTCTCTAGGTCTATTTCTAACTGATAACTCATTGTTTCAGGTTGAATAAATATGCGGGTACTTACTCTGGCTCACAGGTTTAATCTGCAAACGTTCTCTGCCACAGAGGACCGGAGAGGCCCTGAGATGCACTGTGGGCAGCACTGTCCTGGCTGAAGGAGGGAGGCGGGTGGGGGCAGACCTCTAGCTATGACTGGAGCACTAACCACATTGCTGTGGATGCCCTCAGAATCCCAGCAGCCAGACCGGATGGTTCTCATTTAACAAGAAACAAAAGCCAACTTCTGAGAGAGGTAATTCAGCTAAAATTAGGCTTTGAATTGGTCTGGAGGACACTGGTGTTCCTACTCTTAATTACTTTTCTATAAAACAAGGATAATTGAAGGAAATTAAGAAAGTTTGAGGGTTTATTCAATATTTACATAACCCTGAAGGCATTTCAACCACTTGCAAAATAAAGGTTTAAATGTCTAAATCATTAAAAGCTTTGGAAGCAACATATCAACAAACTGAACACTAAGGGAAAATTAAACCAAGAAGTTTATTTTTAATATATTTTATTGATTTTTTATAGAGAGGAAGGGAGAGAGATAGAGAGCTAGAAACATCGATGAGAGAGAAACATCGATCAGCTGCCTCCTGCACACCCCCCACTGGGGATGTGCCCGCAACCCAGGTACATGCCCTTGGCCGGAATCGAACCCGGGACCCTTCAGTCCGCAGGCCGACGCTCTATCCACTGAGCCAAACCGGTTTCGGCTATTTTTAAAAGTAAACCCAAAAGAGCACACATTTGTAGTAAATCAGAACAGCCCAGATTTTAAGCACTATTATAATCTTGCAGCAACATCTGGGAACAATGAAGAAAGATCCTAAGTCTTTACCCAAAGTCATACTAAATGTTTAGAAGTCCTTGCAGTTTCTACTGACAGTGGGTTACAACCACTGCTTTTTCTTTTTAAGAAATAAATACAGTTTAACCCTAAGCAGATCTGCCTGTGCCATGCTGATGCCACAGGGCACAAGGCAGCCCAGGTAAAATTGACTTACTTGGTCTTTATAACGGTCACTGGCAGGACTGGGAGGGAAAAGCGGCAAGACTGAAAGGAAAGGAAAAAGTGTACAGAGGATAACTTTACTTATGACAAATATAAAAACTCATGTATCCCTCTGCCAACTATCCACATCCAGGCGAGAAGCAACTCCTGTTTCCTACAACGGGTTCAGATGTCTGTCTCTTAAGATCCCTTTCTAGTGATTCAACATTGTTCCTCACCAGCCGGCACGAAGTCTCAGCTCCAGATCATGTCCCTGAATGTGGTCCTGGGTCCTCCGTCTGTCCTTGGAGATTTACCTAACTTAGAATGCTCCCCCTTCTGCACACCTATTCTTTTTCCAAGGATGAGCTCAGGCCCCACCCACCTCTTCCCTGAAGCTTTTCCTGAAGATTCCAGCTCATATCAGATTCCTCTTATCTGAACTCCCACTCCACGTATCTACAGCTCGGACTTAATGGTTATGGCCCCTTCCATGTTTCTGTACTGTTTCACATATGTACATTTTGCCTTTTCCATGTAACTGTAGCAGGAAAGGAGAATCCCAGGATCGCACATCTCTTTGGCACCCTCTCTCATCACATACTGAGAAATAAACACCTGCTGATTTACCTGAAAAATGACTCGAAAGAAGACATGCACCAAACTTACTGTTTAAGCTACTTCTGGTTCTTGTCTTTCTTCTACCAGGATATGGTTTTAGGGATTTCCTGTCTTGGTTAATGTCCCAAGATAGTACAGTAGCACTAGAACTTGAATCTTGATTACCCTCCGAGAAGAGGTGTCTCCTGTAATTGAACTTCTACAAACACAGATAGTAAATGAACCCTATTAAAGGGATGCCAGTGCCCATTATGTACAATTAAGCATATCACTACAAAGTTAGACAAAAGAGGAGTAACAAGGTCTCTTACATAATATAAAGGCACCAAAGTAACGAGGGGAAGAAGAAACAGATGATTTCATTAGTCAGTTCTCAGCCAAGAGGCTGTTGTAAAGGATGACAAAAATCCTCTCTAGTTAGATACTTGCATCTGAAGAGATGCGAAGTAGCTGTTTAAAAGCTGGTGCACCTCAATATCGTGCCAACACTGTAACTTCAAAATACTACCAGAAACAACAAAAGAAAGTATAACAATGATTTTTTCAGAGACATGCCTGTCTACATTTTAGAGGAACCAAAATAAAAATAAGAGGGTCCTTTTCATTTAAACCTTAAAGCCTTTTGAAATTGAGCAGGCCCTGACTGGTGTGGCTCAGTAATTAGCGTGTCGTCCCATGCACTGAAGGACCACAGGTTTGATTCTGTGAGGCAACTGATCAATGTTTCTCTCTCACATGGATGTTTCTCTCTCCCTCTCTCTCCAATCAATAAAAAATAAATCCTTGGTGGGGATCTTAAAAAAAGAAAGAAACTGAGCCTGAACTGTAAAGGTTAGAGATTTTAAGGACAATTTAATCTGTTCTGGTGGATTACTCAACTCTATAATGATATATATATATTTTAATTTTCTATTTTTGGATTCATTTTTAGAAATGCTGAAACAAAGAAACGTTAACATGAAGTGTGTTTTGACTTTAATAAAGCACCTCTCTATTTCAGCCCCGTCTCCTGTGCCCTCCGGAGCCCCGGTCCTGGTGCTGCCATGCCTCTCTCAACAGGGGCTCCACCACTCAGCTCCTAACAGCTCGTTCCCATTTCAGGTCAGGGAGGATTCCCAGGAATCCCAAAGTGGTGATAGTACCTCCCATGCTCTTCTCAACCTAACACATGTCGGCTGGAGGATCCACCCTGTGCCTGAAATGGCAAAGCGTAGAAGCAGCTTAGGGTGGGAAGTGGCGTCACCCTTGTTGATGGTAACACAATCCACAACCTTTAAGGTGGGTGATGGTGAACTATCTATTTTCCAAATGAGTTTATTTTAAATGTTTAGCAGTTCACCTTTTTGTAGAGAAGCTCGTGTGTGAAAGGCACTCTGCGAGCCAGGCCTATCTCCATCTTCCTTTTGTGAAAAAAAATAAAAAAGGTTGGCGGAACCCCCACATTCGCTCCAGAGTTGCCCAGCCAGTGTCTTGTAAAGGAGCAAGCACCACTTCACTGAATGCACCCAGTTAAAAAATCTCACAGCGAGGCTTTCCCGCTTTCTTTAGTTTTATAAAAGGGGCTGAAGCCCTAGCCGGTTTGCTCAGTGGGCAGAGCATCGGCCTGCAGACTGAAGGGTCCAGGGTTCAATTCCAGTCAAGGGCACATGCCCGGGTTGTGGGCTCGATGCCCAATAGGGGGTGTGCAGGAGGCAGCCAATCGATGATTCTCTCTCATCATTGACGTTTCTATCTTTCTCCCTCTTCCTCTCCCTCTCTGGAATCAATTTTTAAAAAAGTTTGTGTGTGTGTGTGTGTGTGTGTATACATATATACATATACATAACTTTCAGGGGCTGAAAGTTATTTTAAAAAGTGCAACTACCCAGAGCAGCTGTTTTTCAAGTTGGCTCATATCAGGAGGGGGCTTTGAAACAGATCCCGATGCCTGAGTTCTCCCCTGGACCAACTAAGTCAGAACCATCAGGCTGCGGTTTTGTATCAGCTCCCCTGATGATTCCAGCTAGAAGATGGGCAGTGGAAAGTGACAGCCATTGCTAAAAGCAAGCCAGGAAGAGCCTTAACTCATTTCTTTGAAGCTCATGATCTCAAGTTTGTAGAAAATTTCATTTAATATTCATTATAGAGATATTTTTAAATGCTCTGACTACAGATTTAGAGCACTGACCACCCCAAAGTGGCAGACAAGCTGGAGAGGTGTAAGTTGGTGCCCAGAGAAACAAAACCATGCCACTGACTCAGAGCAAAACATTTCTTTCACTTCATTACCACGTCTGCTTCCATTCAGGATAAATCTCAAGTGTCAGTAGGTCTTGAACCCTTCTCTTCTACTTATCTTTTCTTTAAAAGCAAGAACAGGCTTTAGCCTCAAAGCCTGATACGAGTAAAAGTACAGTTTGATATGATAGCTGTTATTTCTATTGTGTTATTTGGGGCCTTATTATTTGTTACAACTCATGCTGCTTTTCCATTTGGAAGTGAAATAATTCCCTTTAAAATAAGTTTAAGATCAATTTAAATGGAGAAAAATAGAGATCAAGAGCAGAGCCATAACAGATTTTGAAGATGGTATGCAAATAACTAAAATTTGGGAAGTAATGCCTCCAAACAAGAAAAGTTACTTCATTACCGACATCCTTCTTTCTTGCTTTCTGGCACCCTTGAAAGTAGATTCTTTCCTAAAACAAAATATATCAAATCAGTGGAACTATACAACCATCACCTCCTCCTTCCCTCCCTTCACAGCCCTAACTATTTTCCCCTTCATATACCCTTTGTCTTATGTGAGCCCTGTGCATGGGAAGCACCATAACCTGTGCAGAACTTAACTTGCAATCCATTTCCATAGATTCTCTGCCTGACAACAACTAGTTATTTAAAACAAAACAAACCTTTGTGGAACCCTTCTCTGTCAGGCATACAAAGAGGAAGGCAGGGTAGGACCCGCAGATGAGCAGCCAGCTTTGGCAAAGCTGCAGAGCAGTGCTTCCTGTCTGGCTCTGCTTTAGAATCCCCTCAGGTGCTAAAAAGATAGCTTTCGTCATGGCCTGTGTGGGTCAGTGGTTAGAGCACTGATTCATAGACCAAAGGGTCTTCGGTTCAACTCCCAGTCCAGGACACGTACTTGGGTTAGAGGTTCAATCCCTGGCCCTGGTCGGGGTGCATGTGAGAGGCAGCCAAGCAATGTGTCTCTCCTACATTGACGTTTCTCTCTCTCTCTTTCATTCTATCTCCCTTCCTCCCTCCCTCCTTATCTCCCTCCCTCCATCCATCCATCCATCCATCCATCCATCCATCCATCCCTTCCTTCCTCCCTCCCACTCTCTCTCTAAAAAAAAAAATCAATTGAAAAAATATCCTCGGGTGAGGATTAACAACAATAAAATCTAAGTGTTGTTGAAGATGTGGAAAAATTGGGACCCTTGCATAATTAATGGGAATGTAAAATAGTGTAGTTGCTATAGAAAACAGTATGGAATGTCTTCAAACAAATTAAAAATAGAACTATTATATGATCTAGCAATTTCATATATCCAATGGAATTGAAATCAGGATATTGAAGAAATATCTTCACTCCCATGTTCACTGCAGCATTATTTACAACTAGAGGCCTGATGCATGAAATTTGTGCACAGGAGGGGGGAGGTCCCTCAGCCCGGCCTGCCCCCGCTCCAATCCACGACCGCTGGCTCCTAACCGTTCACCTGCCTGCCTGCCTGATTGCCCCTAACCTCTCTGCCTGCCTGCCTGATTGCCCCTACCACCTCTGCCTGCCTTCCTAATTGCCCCTAACTGCCTCTGCCTGCCAGCCTAGTCGCCCCTAATTGCCCTCTCCTGTCAGCCTGGTCGCCCCCAATTGCCCTCCCCTGCTGACCTGGTCACCTCTAACTGCCTCTGCCTTGGCCCTCGCCACCATGGCTTTGTCTGGAAGGATGTCCAGAAGATATCCAGTCTAATTAGCATATTACCCTTTTATTAGTATAGATAGCCAAGATACAGAAACAATCTAAATGTCCATAGATGAATGAGTGGATAAACAAAATGTGATACATACATACAATGGAATACTCATCAGCCTTAAAAAAGAAGCAAATTCTGCAATGTGCAACAACATGGATGAACTTGAATGACATTATGCTAAGTGAAATAAGCCAGTCACAGGACAAATACTGCACAATTCCACTTACACAAGGTATCTAAAAGAGTCAAACTCACCCCTGGATGGTTGGCTCAGTTGGTTGGAGCATAATCCCATACACCAAAGGGTTGTGGGTTTGATTTCTGGTCAGGGCACACACCTAGGTTGCAAGTTTGATGCTCAGCTGGGGTGTGTACGGGAGGCAACTGATCTGTTTCTCTCTCACATCAATGTTTCTCTTTCTCCCACCCCCCTTTCCCTCTCTCTCTAAAATCAATAAAACATATTCTTGGGTGAGGAAATGAATGAATGAATGAATGAGTCAAACTCACAGAAAGGGTGAATAGGATGGTGATTACCAGGGGCTGAAGGGAGGAGGAAATGCAAAGTTGCTATTCAACAAGTATAGTTTCAATTACACAAGATAAATGAGTCCTAGAAATTTGTTGTATAATAATGTGCCTATAGTTAACAATATTGTTTAGGCACATACAATTTTATTAAGAGGGCAAAGCTCATGTTAAGTGTTCTTATCATAATATAAAAAAGGGCCAATGAACCCCCATTTCCAGGCAATCACTGATCTTTCTGTTTCTAGAGATTATTTGCATTTTCTAGTATTTTATGTAAATGGAATCATACAATACATACTCTTTTTTTTTTTTGTCTGGCTTCTTTGACTTGGTATTATGTGGAGAGTCATTCATGTTGTCTATGTCAATAGCTAATTTATTTTTATTTCTGAGCACTATTCCATTGTATGTATATAACAAAATTTGTTTATCCATTCATCTATTGATGGACATTTGGGTTGTTTCTAGTTTGGGTCTGTTACAAATAAAGGAAATGCAAATTAAAGCCACATGAAATACCACTAAACTTCCATTGCAATAGCAAGATAAGGAAGACATTACCAACTACTGGCAAGAATTTCTAGCATCTAGAACTCTCAAAAGTTGTTGATGGGAATGTAAAATGATGCAACCACTTTGGAAAACAATTTGACAGTATTTTTTTAAAAAATTAACATACACCAACAATGATCCAACCATTCAACTCCATCCCAAGAGAAAAGAAAACATGTGTCCCTGCAAAGACTTATACATGAATCCTAAGGACTTTACTTATAACAACAAAAAGCTGGAAACAACTCAAATGTCAATCAACAGGTGAATGATAAACAGCTTGCAGTGTATCCACCCGTACAATGGAACACCACTGGGCAATATAGAAGAATGAACAGCTGATACATACAACGTGATTGAATCTCAAAATAATTACACACAAAAAAGAAGCTAGAAAAATAGCTTCTGTTTGATTCCATTTCTATATGATTTTTAAAACGGCAAACTTATCTGTCACAGAAAATAGATCAGTGATTGCAGTGGGGGTGGGAGGGGTATAAAGAAGGGCGGGAGGGAGTTCAAAGGGGCAGGAAGATATTCTTGGTGATGATTGGTCATTATCTGCTTGTGGTCATGGTTCCTGGGTGTAGACATATGTCAAAACTCATTAAATTATACACTTAACATATGTACAATTAAGTTCATTTTAATTATGTCTCAAACCATAAAAATATCACTTGTCTTATGATCTGTTCTTCAGAGGCCTATATGGAAAAGTGGCCAATTAATTAATGCCAGTTATATATATTTTCTTATTGGGGATATTCAATGTTTTGCTACAGAAAAAATACATCACAAAAGCAAGCACTGGGGGTACAATGGTAGAGACCTACAGGCCAGGAGAACATTCCACCTCTGCTCCGATCCTACAGAAAACTGCACACAGTGCTCTCTCCTTCTGTGGGGGTGGCCAGGCCCAGGAAAGAGGGATAATCTGTGGTCGGCAAACTGCGGCTCGCGAGCCACATGCGGCTCTTTGGCCCCTTGAGTGTGGCTCTTCCTAAGCCTTAGGAGTACCCTAATTAAGTTAATAACAATGTACCTACCTATATAGTTTAAGTTTAAAAAATTTGGCTCTCAAAAGAAATTTCAATCGTTGTACTGTTGATATTTGGCTCTGTTGACTAATGAGTTTGCCGACCACAGACCTAAACTGTTGACTTGTGCATTAACTAGTCACATTAACAGCAATCTACATAATTGGTTAGTTTTGAAAATCATTTACCTGGATTTATCTTTTAATTTAGGAACCAGGATTTTTCCTGATTGCTCTTGTATATCTGAAGAATACTCATGTTTTGAAGGAACTTCTAATGGGAATTAAAAACAAAAAAAAAAGTTTCTCAATTAAATATTTAAATATAAAATACCATTCAAGACTTATTTATGATAGATTAAAAACATCTGACCTTGTTGTATATCACCCAGTTTCAATTTTTCAGGTGAACTATCAGCTATCTTTGTTTGCTGCAGAAAAAAATATGTGTTTAGTGTCTTTGAAGCCCTCTTTTATCATTCTTTTGGAGCCACCTCCAAAGAAAAGCATTTCTATTGAATACTAAGATACAAGGCTCTTTATTTATTAGAGTTGGCTATCCTAATAAATTAATATTCATTCTCAGGCGAAAATTTTCCACTATCAAAGACAATCACAGCATTCCAAAGTTACTAAGGGAAACATCAAAAGAAGACTTACAAAAACTGTCTTTAATAGCATCAAAACTGTTGGGATAAATGCATAACCTGACAAGGAGACCGACTATCTAAAGGAGTAATCTTTGGTATGTTTGTTTTTAAAAAGCCATCACAATGCCATCACACTTCTGTATGATGTGTCCAGATCATCAAATATAAGCAAAGGAGAAGGGGCAGAATACCTATCCATGCTAAGCAGTGTGTTAGGTGCTGTACACACATTCTGTTTTTGATCGCAGAGATCCACATTGAGAACCAGCTATCACCTCTGTTTTAGAGATGGGAATCTTCAGGCTCAGTGGTGTTAGGAAACTTGTCCAAGTTCCCACAGGTAATAAGGTATATCCCCGAAGATTAGGCTCCTTTCCCTACATCTCAGTCACCAGATCCCAAATGAGGGAATGAGGCAGAGCCCACCAAGTCACTCATTCCATGAGAGATCCAAGTTGAAAGGAGAGATCACAAAATCATGACAGGCAAAAATAATTTAAAGGAGGGGATGGTCAAACCAGAGATGGATGGTTAGCCTGGAGAAAATGGACTACAAGCCAGGAGTGCTTCCACCTGTTGGCATCCTAGTGGACACAGTTCAGAATCTTGTCCCCTACACCCCATACTCACAGAAAGCTCAGACTGGTCGTTTAAGGGGATAGTTATTAGGCAGTAGTCAGCTTCGGCAGGCGTTAACGCTGCCAGGTTGGTGGATTCTTCTGCCTAGTCTATCACATTAAGAAAAGAGCATATAAGGTGATCACAATATCCACGCATGATAGTGGGCACTCTCTCCAAGTGCTCTTCGTGGGACCCTCAGTGTGGGGACATCACCATATTTTGGTGAGAGCTGGTAAATCTACAGGGGCTATAGAAAGCAGCCAGGGGCTGTAACTCATAAGGGGTATGTGATGTGTGGGGGTCAGCTTTGTAGGTAGATGCTCCTGCACACCGTCTCCTGCTGCCTGCCACCCACATCATGTTTTCTCCTTTATTTCCAACTGGCCCAGAAGAGAGACTGTATCAGGTGGGCAAAATGATTCAAGGCTCTTAGCAGTTTTCTTTCTCCAAAGGCACAATAATACATTTATTACTCTTATGTGATCATAGGTTTTCAGTGACCTCTTCCAAGTAAGGTTTTATCATTTTTATAGGGTATTCAGAGTACAAAAATTTGTTATTTCCCAATATACCTGTCTCTCTTTTGTGGTTGATAGGACTATCAGGTTCTTCCTTTACAAACTTATCAAGAAGTTGTGAGGAGATTTTTATCTGGTCAAACAATATCTGAAATGCAAGCCAAAAGCCACATGACTTTTAAAACCTGTAATCTTTTTTTTTTTTTTATAATTTAAGGAAAATTTAAAGCTCAGAAATAGCAGATAAAAAATTAGAAATTGGTCATTTTGAAGGATCATTTCACTGTTTCCAGCGTCTCTGCCTACCTCCTCCTTTCAGAACCAGCTCTGGTTGAGCACTTTCCCGCTCTCAGTCACTCCTACTCTGAAGTTGTATCAGCCTTTGCTTCCTCTGTCCCAAGTCTGACCCCTTGAGCTTTACTCAGGGACGGAAGCTCTCAGGATGAGTCTGCTGAGTCCCCACCTGCAGGCTCTCATCATCCCCACCCCTTCCTCACAGGGTCTTGTGATCAAGGAACCGTGGCTTAGTAGTGTGCAAAGCCCAATTTTCTCCCAAAATATTTTATTCATTTTGTGAAATGTGGAAATACATATAATTCTGATGTTTTTCATGAATGAAGGCAAACCTACAGTGTCAGGCCAACTCATATGAAGTATAATGGAGGAGGTGTTTTTTTTATTAATTAATTGATTCTACTTTTATTTCTCATCTTCAGCCATGAAATGGTCTTCTCATAGGTAAGTCTTTGGAAACTATATTTGCAGAGCACTTTAGCATGTATAGAATGATTCTATATACAACGCAAAGCCAAAAAGAAACCAGCCTAATACATACTCCCTGAGTCTCTGACATTTTAATTGCACCCTACTGACCATATAGTGTTTTGTATCTTCTTGCCACAAATTTCTTTGCCTTGCCTACTGTCTATGATAGAGAAAGGCTCCTTGTTCTTGTGGATAAATAGGAAATATTATACTCAGCAAGACAGAGACCATAGCAGTCTACACAAGGCTCATCTCATTTCCACAATATAAGACCGGTAGATAGAACTGCTGAAAAACTTCCAAAGAGACCCTATTCCTAGTGATTCCCCTCATCCTCAAGGAGCTCAGTGATAAGAAAGTGCCAAGAAGTCCACAGCAAGTATCCTCAGAATTTCTGGAAGAATATGGTTAAGGAGGTGTTATCCTAGAAAAATTTTCAACTGTTCAAAATAAATAAAATTAAGACACAAAGAGGCTATTTGAGACACAAAGAGGCTTTGTGTCCTATGTAGTTAAGACAATGATAACTGAAAAGGAAGAATTGGGATTAGAACTCACAACTATTATGATCTGCAGAAGATCAATCCTTCTGCTTAATCAAATATTCACATCAAAACTCAACAAGGAGTTCTGGTTCAAGATGGCAATGTAGGAAGATCCTAAACTCACCCCCTCCCACAGAAACACTGATCTTCAGCTACACGTAGTGCAATTTCCTCTGGGGAAAAAAATCTAGCTGAATGATTCCCATAGATTAGGTGAACAAGAAAAACCCACATTGAAGCAGGCAGGAGATGTTGAGACACAATCTCACCATACACCCTACCACTTGGCAACCCACAATCAGGAAGGAACTCAAAACCCCAATTTCTCCTTAAAAAGAGAAGAAACTCTGGTACCCCAACTTTTAAGACCTGCATCTGAGAGACAAGCGCCACCCCCCCGCCCTCAAGTATCTAGCTTTGAAAGCCAAGAGGACTAAAGTCCATGAGACCTATAGGCTGTAACAAACTGAGACATAGTTCTTAAAGCGCTTGCTCATGCAGGCTCACCTTCCCCAGGGCCCAGCCTGGAGGCAACCCTTGAAAAAAAACACAAATACACAAATTTTCTGTGAAAGAAACTTATTTGTTTATATTAAAACATCAGACTGAGGGGCAGGCATCTAATTTAACATGCATCTAGGGGCCTACTGAAATATTCTCTAGGGTCAGAAGCCAAAATGCACCATCTTTCTACTCTAAAGTCCCTTTCTCTAGCTTGCCAATGTCTCCTGGAAAGGAGCTTGTACTCTCATCTAGTGCCCTGATTTTTGCAGCTGCCATGCAGGGGACACCTCTAAATTCCCTGGCTCTAGTGGCCAGCAGGGCTTAATCTCATGGGTCCCTCCGGACTGCAGCCACTGAAGACAGAGTTCTTAACCAGCTACCAACCCAGGACACAGCAGCGACACAAAAGATTGAGATGTCCAGTCCTTCTGTGAAAGAGGCCTATTACTTATCTTCATAGCTGCTGCCTGAGAGGCAGGTTTCTAATTAAACACACACCTTAGGGCTGACTGTACATCAACCTCTCCAGAGAACTTGGAGGGCAGATGCTATCTTCATACTCTCCCTCCACCTGCCCCAGAGCACCAGGATCTCCCAGAGGGCAGCTTGTATGTGCATCTGGTGCCTCAGGTTTGGAGGTTGCCACTCAGGGTATGCCACTGGATTGCCTGGTTCTGATGGCCAGCAGGGTTTGCATTCCTGTGTCCCATAGGACTATAACAACCGGGGAGACCATCCATAGAGCACAGCACATTCCGCAGACTAAAGTGTACCCCAAGTCTTTCTTTAAAAAAGGCCTATTTGCTTTCCTGAAGCGCTGACAAGAGAGGCAGATTTTCTGGATAGGCACATGTACAGAGGCTACTGAGGTACTCTCTAAAACAGAGGCCCAGAGATGCTACCTTTGCACTCTTTCTCTGCTTCACTACAGACCACCAGTATCTGCCAGAAAGGAGATTGTGCCATCACTTAGCACCCCAATTTTTGTGGCTGCTACCCAGGGGACACCTCTAGATCACCTGGCTCTAGTGGACAGTGGGGCTTACACTCACAGTCCCATGGGGGTGGGGGATGGAGATATATATATATCTGCATAGTTAAAAAACTGCTGGCTGATGGTCTGTTTTCCAATCAGCCTAAATCTAGGTGTTGACTGAAATCTTCCCCTTTGGGATACAGACAACTCTTGACACAACCTCAAATACTAGGAGCCCCTGAAAATAAAAAAGACTGCTTGGGCAACCACAGGATTGAGAGACAACTAAAAGCTAGGGCAAGGTTGAGCAACAAGGCTAATCTCCTCATGAGGCCACTCCTTCAGATTGGGAGAGGTGGCTGTTTGATCTAATGCATAGAAACCAACACAGAGAGTTAAGGAAAATGAAGAAACAAAGGAATATGTTCCAAATGAAAACAAAATACACCTTAGAAGAAGACCTTAATGAAAAGAAAGTAAGTGATTTACCCGATAAGCAGTTCAAAACAATGGTCATAAGAATGCTCACCAAATGTGGGAGAATAATGGAGGAACATAGTGAGACCTTAAAAAAAGATGTAAAAAATATAAGGAAGTACCAAATAGAACTCACAGACCTTAATACAGTGACTAAACTGAAAAATACACTACAGAGGTCCAACAGCAGATTAGATGAAACAGAAGAAAGGATCAGTGAACAGGGCAAGGCAGTCAAAGTCACCCAAACAGAGCAGCAAAAAGGAAAAGAATGAAAAAAGTGAGGATAGTGTAAGGGACTTACAGAGCAACATCAAGCAGACAGACATTCATATTACAGGGGTTCCAGAAGGAGAAGAAAGAGAGAAAGGGATAGAAACTTTATCTGAAGAAATAATGACTGAAAACTTCTCTAACCTGGAATAGGTAATAGACATCCAGATTCAGAAAACCAAAGAGGTTAAAAAGAAAAGAGAGAGAGTGAGAAAGAGAGAAAGAGAGAGAGAGAGAGAGAGAGAGAGAGAGAGACCATGACACATTATAACTAAAGTGTCAAAAATTAAAGACAAAAAGAGAATCATAAAAGCAGCAAGAGAAAAATAATTTGTTACATACAAGGGAACCTCTCTAAGACTCATTTTCTCAATTAAACTTTGCAGGCCAAAGGTGTGTGGCACAATATATTAAAAGTGCTGAAAGACAAAAATTTTCAACCAAGAATACCCTACTGACAATGCTATTATTCAGAATTGGAGATAAAGTGTTCCAGACAAGCTAAAGGAGTTCATCATTATTAAACCATCTTTACAAGAAATGTCAAAGGGACTCTCTGAGCTTAAATGAAAGGGTGCTAATTAGTAACAGGAAAATATACAGCCCAGCTGGCTCAATAGTTAAGCATCAATCTATGAACTAGGAAGTCACAGTTCAATCCCTGGTCAGGGCATATGCTCGAGTTGAGAACTCAGTCCCCGGTGTGGGACATGCAGGAGGCAGCTGATCAATGATTCTCTCATCATTGTTGTTTCTATCTCTCTCTTTCCCTCTCCCTTTCTCTCTGACAACAATAAAAATATTTTTTTAAAATGGTGGTGGGTTCAATTCCTGGCCAGGGCACATACCCTGGTTGCAAGTTTGATCCCCAGTCAGGGTGTGTGGGAGGCAACTGATCGATGTTTCTCTCTCACATTGATGTCTCGCTCTCTCTCTACCTTTTTCTCTCTAAAATCAATTATAAAAATATATAAAACTATTAATTATTGATAAAAGTAAATATATAGTAAAATTCAGAATAATCTAATATTATAATTATTTATAAAGTTAATATGAAAGCTAAAAGACCAAAGTAGTAAAAATAACTATAATATTTCATTAAGGGAACACAAAATAAAAAGTTGTAAATTTTAACATCAAAAAAATAAAATGTGGGGAAAAGAGTAAAAATGCAGAGCATTAGAATATAATCAAACTTAAATTATTATCAACTTAAAAATAGGCTGTTATAAGTTGTTTTATATAAGCCTCGTGGTAACAAAGCAAAAACGTATAGTAGACACAAAAAGGAAAAAGGAAACTAAGCATAATACTACAGAAAATCATCAAATCACACAGGAATAGAGCAAGAGAAGAAAGGAACGGAGGGTGAACAGAACAGCCAGAAAGCAACTTACAAAATGGCAGTGTGTACCTATCGATAACTTTAAATATAAATGAATTCAATTCTCCAATCGAAAGACATAAAGTGTCTGAATAGATTAAGAAAGAGAGAGAGATCCATCTATATGGGCACACATAGACTGACAGTGAAGGAATGGAAAAAAATATTCCATGCAAATGGAAACCAAACAAAAGCTGGGGTAGCTATACTTATATCAGACAAAATAGATTTTAAAACAAAGACTATCATAAGAGACAAAGAAGGTCATTATATAATGATAAAGGGATCAATCCTACAACACAATATAATATTTTAAAATATTTATGCACCTAACATAGGAACCTACCTATATAAAACAAATATTAACAAACCTAAAGGAGAAATAGACAAAAACTACATATTTGAAAATTACTAAGAAAGTAAATTAAAAGTTCTCACAAGAAAAAAATCTTTATGGCAACGGCTGTTAACTAGATTTGTTGTGGTCATTTTGCTATATATTCAAATGCTGAATCATTATGTTGTACACCTGAAACTAGTACAGTCATGTACCACTAATGATGGGGATATGTTCTGAGAAATACATTATCAGGTGATGTCTTTGTTATGCGAACATCATCCAGTGCACTTACACAAACCTAGACGGTATAGCCTACTGCACACCTATGCTATATTATAGAGTCTATTGTTCTTAGGCTACAATCCTGTGTAGCATGTTACTGTATAAAACAACATGAGATTAAAACAAACACAACATGAAATGATTCAAGCAAAAGACACAATAAGCCTCAGATGTATGAGGCTGCTGCCAATGTAACACAGCATACTGTCTAACAGCAAACTTTTTTCTTAATAAAGAGAAAGAATACTCTATGACACAAAAAATATAGTATAGTAAATTTATAAATCAATAATATTGTTGTTTATTATCATTATCAAGGATTATGTGCTACACTTTTATGCAACTGGCTGTAGGTTTGCTTACATCAACATCATTAAAAATGCATTGCACTATGATGATGTTATGAGTGCTATGCTGTCACTAGGTGATAGGAATTTTTCAACTCCATTATAATCTTATGGGACCACCTTCATCTATGTAGTCTGTCACTGACTGAAAAATTATTATGCAACACATGACTGTATAATATTATGTCGATTATATTTCAATTTTTAAAAAACCCAACATGGAAATTTAAGAGACATGAAAACATACTAAAACACAGTCAAATAATTAAAGAGAATTAAACCTGCCACCTGTTTGTCTTCTCCTAAAGCTTTAACGGAAGCTTGTGATATGTTGAATTGCAAATCAAAATGAATTTCTACTTTCCTCACTTCCTTGTTTCCAATATTAATAGGCTTCAAGTAAATGATGAACATCTTTTTCTTTTCAGTTTCTAGCAAAAAATAAAATATACCAATGTATATCAACACATTGAAAGTTTGTATTTTATAATTTTAAATAAGTACACTGAGATATTTGTCAACAGTCCAGATTTTTCTGCAATGAGTAGTTGAAAAGAAATCATATTTTTAGAAGTTACATAAACCAAAACTCAACCCCCTATACCTGTGGTCGGCAAACTGCAGCTCGTGAGCCACATGCGGCTCTTTGGCCCCTTGAGTGTGGCTCTTCCTAAGCCTTAGGAGTACCCTAATTAAGTTAATAACAATGTACCTACCTATGTAGTTTAAGTTTAAAAAATTTGGCTCTCAAAAGAAATTTCAATCGTTGTACTGTTGATATTTGGCTCTGTTGACTAATGAGTTTGCCGACCACTGCCCTATATCATCTCTTATATTCTTTCTTAATATGAACAATGATTTTGTTTGTTATAACCACGTTAGAAAGATTAAAGTGCTGATTTTGTTTCTCCCTCACCCCCATGCTTTTCTTTTCCTTAAGGATTCTAGTTCTAGGATCCATTTTCTTTAGTCAAAATTTCACAGTTAAAAACAAACAAACCTGAGAAACTAACCCATAGGCAAAAGAGTTGTTCACTTTTTTAAATTGTTGTTCACTTCATTAAATTATAGAACTTTTACTCACAGATGATTTCAATTGCAGGTTAAACGAATAATATTTTCTTCCTGCTACCCCCAAATTACACTCAACATTAAAGCTGTTTATAGCTTGCCACCAGCATTATTCTGGTAGGCTTGTCAGTGTTAAATCTGTCTGTGGTTTTTTGTTTTTTTGTTTTTATTTTAAAGTCTAATTTTAGGATAGATTAAATCAGATGTGTACCAGTGTGCATTTTGCAAAATGTTCTTCATTAAAAAAATTTGTTTGTAAATTATCCATTGTTTTTGAGTATGCCCAGTTGATGGGATAAAATTTTCACTGTCTTATAAAACCTTGATGATCAAACAGATATTGTGAAGCTTTGTGAATTTTAAAAGTGCAAAATAAAGCAACCAAGTTTAAATAATTTTTAAAAAGTTACTTAGTTATTTTATTAGATTCACATGTGTGTTTATAGACACACAAATGAAGTGGTTAATCTGACAGAAATAGAAAGTAGCAATGGAGATGTCCTTATCTACTGAAACCATTTTTCAAAGAGCATTCTGTGAATACAAAGCTATCATATGCAACAGGTATTTAACTTCCCAATATATTAAGCACAACATTCATTCTCATTCTTTCTCTCTCCCAGATCCCACTTATTTCTAAAATTCAAATTCAATGTCACTGTTTGCAATGTGCAAAGTGGAATAATCTACCTTCCTTTCAATAGCCTCCATTTAAAAAGGAGAAATGGAAACATCATAGAAACAGGCCTGTTTCTTAGACAACAGTCTCCAAGAGAGCCCCCTTCCAGGACACCAGCCTTTTACTGACAAATAGTAATTGACTTAGAACAGAAAATAGCTTAGACCAGCGATTTTCAAATGGTGTGCTGCAAGAATTTTTAAAACATGCAATACCTGACTATTTAGTCAGAGGTACTGACTTATTTTCCCTTAGATCGTCAAATAAAAAAATGACCACAGCCAACACAACAATAGCTGTCCAGTGTGAATGCCCTGTCTTTTATGTAGATCATATAAAAGAGTTGCATCTTATTGGTTACCTAGAATAATAAGGTTGCATCTAATTGGTTAATTCTTGGTACCAGAAATCCTTATATACAAATATAGGCACCTGATTTTTTTAAAAATCACTTTGGAACAAAAATTATAGGTAATTACTATGAGTTTTTTTATTAATCAGTCAAAATTATACCTATTTTTTATTGAATCAACAAAAAATATCATGTATTTTTGTGTATGCTGCAGAATTTTAGTAATTAGTTTAGTTCATTTCCATGAAATGAAAAAAGGTTGAAAATTACTGGCTAATAATTCAAGGAGAGTCCAAGAATAAGCCACAGTAAGTACATGCTGAGTTGGAAGCAGCAGGAGAGAAAAGAGGAAAGTCTATGAAAGAATAGGCAAAGCTAACAGTCACAAATTGATGAGGACAGAAAGAGGAAAAAAGAATGAGACACACCTAGGTCTAGATTTATGGGTACTGAGTACTTATAATATGGCTAGTACAAATCGAAGTGCACCATAAGCATAAAATACACATCAGTTTGTGAAGATTTAGTACAAAAAAAAAAGAGAAAGTAAAATATCTCATCAATTTTTCATTTTAATTACATATTTAAATGTTAATATTTTCGATATATTGGGTTAAATGTATATTACTAAAATAACTTCTTAATGTGGCGATGTGAAAATGTAATATTAAATATGTGGCTTATACTGTGTTTCTATAGGACAATGTTGGCATAGAGACAACCTCAGCAATCCCCCAAACACCAATCTTACTGGACATCTAGTCACTACAGGAAAAGTCTATGAAACACTGCAACAAAAGTAATTCAAACTATATCTAAAAATACAAACAGCTATTTGGGATATAGAGCTCAATGCAAACATACAAGGGCATACAAGGTTCAGAAGAAATTATCTCAGGACTGCACCAAGCACTCAACATACTACTAAAACATTGCCAACTGCTTAGCAAGAAGTTGCATATAAAACTAAGGTGTTGCTTGGAGAGTTTGCTAAACAATCTTTAGTTTCCTTGGTTATAAAAATAGAAAATAGCTCTAGCTGGTTTGGCTCAGTGGATAGAGCACCAGCCTACGGGCTGAAGGTCCCGAGTTCGGTTCTGATCAAGAGCACATGCCCAAATTGTGGGCTCATGCCCAGTTGTGGGGGGGGGGGGATGCAGGAGGCAGCCCATCAATGATTCTCTCTCATCATTGATGTTCCTATGAAACTCTCTCTCCCTCTCCCTTACTCTTTGAAATCAATAAAAATATATTTTTTAAAAAGTAAAAATAGAAAATAATGCCTACCTCCTTCAAACACTGTGAGGCACTTTGTAAATTATGGAGTCTCACGGAAATGTGATATATTAGTGAAGTATAGAATATTAACTTGGCAAGTTAGTTCCTGGAAACCATTACAGTAGCAAGGTTTGGAGTTCGGAACTTAAACTAAGAAAAACAATGTTAGGACTACCACAGTCAGAAAATCCATGGAAGTCCGTCCAAAATAATGACTTAGAGTAAATATCAACAATATTTTATATATCTGAAATTAACAGTAACAGGTAATGACAACATAAATTAAGTTATTCTTAATTTATATTTATGATTATACTTAATTCACATTTCTAGTAAGTTATTTATAAACCCCTTCTGTTTCCTACAGGTGGGTGATACTGCCGACTAATGTATCCTATCCTTCCAATTCTGTGATTGCGTAACTCTAGCTCTTCTCATCTGTGACACAGTAAGAACTATATATTTGGCCTCTGCCCAGATTCCTGACACGAGGCTCCTAAAAATCTTTATAATTTGCTAGAAGCATCTTTTCTTCTAATATTTGGTCTCTGACCCCTATTCCTAACACAAGAGCTAAGACCCTTAGGATCCCTGGAGTGAAGTGTCTTCTGTATGCTAATGAGGTAACTGGTGGCTCCTAGAGCAGCAGGATGGTGGCCAGTCCCAGAAAGACTAAGTCACCATGTGAGGGTTGGAACTTTCAGACCCCACTCCTCAACCTCCAGGGAGGGGAAAGGGGCCAGAGATTGAGTTAATAATCTATCGTGCCTTTGTGATAAAGCCTCCATAAAAATTCCTAAAGTAGGGCTTAAAGAGCTTTCAGGTTAACACCTCCTTGGATCAGGAGGGCAGAGCAACCCAATTTCTCAGGGACAGGAGCTCCTATGCTCAGGATACTTCTGGATCTTGCCCTATGTACCTCTTTACCTGGTTCTTCATCTGTATCCTTGATTGTATTCTTTATAATAAACTTGTAATTTAAGTAAGTGTTTCCCTGAGTTCTGTGAGCCAATATAGCAAATTATCAAACCTGAGGAGGTTGTGAGAACCCACGATTTGTAGCAAATGGGTCAGAAGTTGACAGGTGGCCATCTGGTGTGCCAGCATAGTCAGAAGCTAGGGAAATCCCTGGGCAAGTGGAATGGGGAAACTGAGGCAACAAAATTAAACAAGACCAAACACTTTGGGCAGCTTGCAGCCAGCTTCTGAACTGCAAGATCTTATCTTCCCCAACTAAGGACACTTGAGAGCAAATGGTTTATACCTCTCCTCCTTAACCAGAGAATACACAGCTTGAATCACCGTGGCCTGGGAAAACAGAGGACACAGACCCAATTAATGCCATTTGTGCCAGCTAAACCCAAGGACAGATGAAGTCTTGGAGACAAATAACAAAAATCCAAAAGCATTTGGATAATATTACTTGAGGGGGGAAATGTCAGGCAGGATAAATAGCTGTCAGGGCAGGAGGAGGGGAAGGGATGAAAAGGGGGAGTTTATCTCACCCACTGAACAAAGAAGTCAGCCCTCTTGGGACTTACGAAGACAACATGGCCAGATGTTCTCATAAATTCTGGGGAAAGCTGCAACAATGTAAAAGGGGAACCTTGAAATCTAGTCTATCTGACAGGAGAACCTTGAAACCTGTAGGGGGGGGGGAGTATAAAACCCTTGAACCCCCACCAAGTGGGCACTCAGACTAGCTGAGTTGCCTGCTTGTGCCTTATGCCATGTGTATTCTTTTTTTGTTGTTGTCTCACCCCTGGATATTTTTCCATTTATTTTTAGAGAGTGGAAGAGAGAGGGAAAGACAGAGAGAAACATCGATGTGAGAGAAACACATCAATTAGTTGCCTCCTGCACACACCCCAACCAGGGCCCAGGCCAGGGAGGAGCTCGCAACCAAGGTGCATGCCCTTGACTGGAATTGAACCCGGGACCCTTTGGTCTGAAGGCCGATGCTCTATCCACTGAGACAAACCAGCTAGGGCTGCCAAGTGTATTCTTAATAAATCTCCTTGCTTTATTTCAATACTGCTTTCTGTCACTCATCTGAATTCTTTCTTGTGAGTGTAATAAAAACTGAGGAGGAGAGAGCCACCTTTGACTCGGGTGGCTCTCTGGTAATACTGGGACTTATGATTAGGAGGGGAAATCTTATGGGACTGAGCCCTCAAGGTGTGAGGTCTGTACTAACTCCAGGTAGGTAGCATCAGAATTGCTTAATGTGAGGGGGAAAAAGCTATATATTTGGTGTCAGAAGTGTTATGAGTGTGCAGTTTCCATACTCTCTTTGTTCTTCCAACTCCAGGCTCCTCAGATGTCAAGTAATATACCTCTAATTCCAAATTCTAGGCTTCCTTCTCTTCATCTTTCACTTCTTTCTCCCAAGGCTTCACTGGGAAAGTCTCTCCTCCTCTTCTGCCATTTGCTTTACTGCCTCGTCTACCCTTGTCCTAAAATTTCCCTTTTTTCCTAATAGTATCCAACAGGAGAAAGTAAAAATCCCTGCACATTAGAAGAAATTCTCACTAGCACTGAAAAGAACTAATACAGAAAACTGTGAAACATTTTGAAATGGGCCAAAAAGTTTCTGGGTGCCTCTCTCAAATCCCTTTTGGGTTATCTGAGCTTTTCATTGTCTTTGAGCTATTCTACAAATCTGTGAGTTGTGGAAAACGGATCATAATAATAATGATAATGATTCTTATCTCTAGAAATTCAAGTTAATTTTATCTGTGAAATAATTTGCCTAGTCTAAAACTCTTTGTATGTTCATTTCAGCATAGCTTACATATGTATGATTTTAAATTCTCCTTTGAACTGGCTATTACATCTCATTAATTTCCTCATTAATTCATGAATTAAATAAAATCTTCAACTCACATTCATTTAATATTTGTATGAGGGTCATGATTTCATCTTTTCAAAAATTATTGTTTAATAGAACAATGAAGTTAGCTGGCATTGGTTAATAAAACTATACAGGCCCAGCCGGTGTGGCTCAGTGGTTGAGTGGTTGACCCATGAACCAGGAGATCACAGTTGGATTCCTGGTCAGGGCACATGCCCAGGTTGTGGGCTCAATCCCCAGTGGGGGGCGTGCAGGAGGCAGCTGGATGATTCTCTCTGATGTTTCTATCTCTTTCTCCTCCCTTTCTCTCTCTGAAATCAATAAAAACATATTTTAAAAAAATAAACATACAGGCTTCAAGTGTACAACTCAAAACATCATCTGCACACTGCACTGTGTGCTCACCACCCAAAGTCAAGTCTCTTTTTGTCCCCAATTATCCCCCTTTGCCAACTTCTACCTCCTCCACACCCCAACATCCCTTTTTAAAAATATTTTTTTAATTTCAGAGAGGAAGGGAGAGACAGAGAAAAAAAATCAATGATGAGAATCATCAATTGGCTGCCTCCTGAACACCCCCTACTGGAGATCAAGCCCAGAACCCAGGCATGTGCCCTTGACCGTAATCGAACCCGGGACCCTTCAGTCTGCAGGCCGAAGCTCTATCCACAGAGCCAAACCAACTAGGACCCCCCAACATCCCTTTATTTTTAAAGACCCAATTTGGGAACCCTGATAGATGTTTAAGTATGATTAGAGTTGAAATGCCTAACTGGACTAAGGTTACTGCAGACATCCAGAAAAGCATCACTCCTGATTTTATGTCCCTCATTCCTGTCTACCAATCTGAGAAGGAAGGTGAATGATCGAGTTTAAGAAGCGGGTCAGAGGGATGCTATTTAGACAGAGGTGGCACATACCCACACAAACTCATTGATAATTGCCACAAATCTGTGGGAAGGGAAGGACAGGTACTACAGCCTTTTTTTTTTTTTTAATTATGGTACAAAAAATAACACTTACCATGTCTAAGTGTATAGTTCAGTTAGTATATATTGTTGTAAAACAGATCTTCCAGAACATTTTCATTTTGTAAATCTGAAACTGTACGCATTAAACAAGTCTCCATTTTCCCCTCCCCACAGATCCTGATAACCACCATTTTACTACCTCTACCAATTTGATACCTCATATAAGTAGAATCATACAGTATTTGTCCTTTTGTGACTAGCTTATTTCACTTAGCAAAATGTCCCCAAGGTTCATCCATGTTGTCAGAGTTTCTTTCCTTTTCAAGCTGAATAATATTCCACTGTATGTATACACCCCATTTTGTTTATTTATCCACTGATAGGCACTTAGGCTGCTTCCACCTCTTGGCTATTGAGAACAATGCTACAATGAACAGGGGTGTATAAATATCTCTTTGAGTCCTGTGTACAATCCTCCCAGATATATACCCAGAAGTGATATTGCTAGATCACATAGTAATTTAATTTTTAATTTTTTAAAAAACTAAACCATTTCTACAATGAGAAAACCAGGCAAGTAATTGAACCCCAAAGTCACAAAGCAAAGAAGTCACCAGTTCCATTCCCTTGCATCCTGGTCCTAAGCACAGTGCTCCTTCCACTAACTTCCACCCTAAGGCACTAAATCTGCTCTGTAATTAACTAAACACATACTGCAACTATAAACAGAAATAATACTCTGATAGTTTATCATCTTACCTATTATGCTGAAATTAATCACTGCTTCCTTCAAAAGTCTTACTGAGTCCCACAGAGCACTCTTAGGGGGAAAAAATACGTGAAATTCATGAGCATATAATACATACATAGAGCAATCTCTAAGCGCTTAAGTTTAAACAGAAATCAAACGTGATTACCTCTGTACTATCTATATAAAAAGTTACACTCTGACTTCCTAGGTTGAAATCAATCCAAAATTTCTCTAATTTTTCATCTGCTGGTTTTCTCATCTGTAAGATATAATTTCAGCATAAATTATACACATCAGTACCACGTCAAAGGGTCAAATGAAAAAATTTCCATTAAAAACAGAAGTGCTTGATACCACCCTAATATTACAGGGTATCTCTTTATTGCCTTACTCATTTCTGCAAACAAAAGGAAGGTCACAATTTTATACAACTAAACTATTTATGGAAAAAAACACCACTATCCTTAACTATTTAATATCTGTGTCAGAGGATTCTGTCCACACAAACTTTTTTTCTTGGTGAAATCACAGAGACAACCGTTCTATGTCTAAACAGTAACAATTCACACTGCATATGGATGGAAACTTCTATCAAAGGAAGTACTGTGATCAAATATAAGTGGTTATTCACTCTCTAACTTACCATCTACAGTGGGGCCTTGACTTACGAGTTTAATTCGTTCCGAGACCAAGCTCGTTAAGGAGCTCATTAACTCAAATTACTCTATCAACTCAATGCAAAAAACCAGCCGAGAGACAGCTGGTATCTCAAAAAACTCGTTAGTCGGGACACCCATAAGTCAAGGCCCCACTGTATTAGAATAGAGTTAAGACCTAAAGATTTCAAATTATCTTCATTTTAGTTATTATAAAGTAAATATATGCTTATAGTAAAAAGAGTCAACAGGAGAACCAAGATGGCAGCATAGGTAAATGCCTGTACTTGCTGACTCCCACAACCACATCAAAACTACAACTAAAATACAGAACAAAATTACAACTATCATCCAGAACCATGGGAAAGCTGGCTGAGTGGAAGTACTACAATGAGAGAAGTAAAGAAGAAAGCACACTGAGACTGGTGGGAGGTGCGGAGGCCCAGAACAGGCTGGTCCGGCACCTGGGTGTGCCACTTTTATAATCCGGAGGGAGATTGCCTATGCAGAGGCTGCACGGAGGAGCGAGGGGTCCCAGCCCCACACCAGACCCCCAGCCAGGGTCTCAGAGCTGGGGAAATAAGTCACTACGGGCAATAAGAACTATGAACTGTAAAAACCAGTGTGGATTGGGGCTGAGTGACACACAGGCTGCTAGAGACCCAGTTGCTCCTCTTAAAAGACCAGCACCATGAACTGAATTTACAAGCTCCCACTCCCTCTGAGCTCCAGTGCTGGGGGAGGCTCTGGGGGACCCAAACACATACGGGGAGAAACTGGACTGTCTGCAGAAACTCAGGGGAGGCTTTCTTCCAGACGGAGGTACTCCCAGAGGTCATTATTCCTGTGCTGGGACCTCCCTGGTGCAGGGCTGACTGGCAGCCATTTCTATTTACTCTGACCTGGTGATTCCCTGAGACCCCGCCCCACCCAATTTACAACCCCACCCAAGCTGTGCACAGCGGTCTTTGCATATGAATGGTCTGTCCTTTCTGAGGCTAAAACTCTGTCAAACAAGCTGCAGCTGGGTCAGGGAGCTCCAAGGCTATCAATAAAAGGTCCAAGACCCAGCACCAGCCTGCCTTGCTTCACAGCTGGGCCTCGTCTGGGAACTTCCAAACTTAATACAAAGAGGAGGAATCTGTAGATCTCTCTGTAGCTCCTGCTGGACGGCCCCAGGCAGTGGCTGACTTTGCACCTCCCTGGAGACCCAAGAGCCAGTGTACTAGTGGTCAGTGTGAGACCATACCAGATTATAACTCTTCACATCCATAAGCGACACACTGAAGGGGCAGACTCAGTGAGCACAAAGCCCCACTGAAGCAAGTCCTGCTCCATAAGGGTGTCTCCTGCACAGCAACTCTCCCACTGTAGTCGCAGCTGGTCCCCACAGCCAATTGGCCGGGAGGTCAGTTCCTCCCAGTGACACCAACAGCAATCAAGGCTCAACTACAACAAAACTGTGCACACAGCCCACAAAGGGGTGCACCAAGAGTGTCCACGTCAGGTGATTGGGGAGGCTGAGCCACTGGGCCCTATGGGACACCTACCACACAAGGGCACTCTATAAACTCAAGGAGACTTAGCAGCTACCCAATACATAGAAACAAACACAGGGAAGCAGCCAAAATGTGGAGACAAAGAAACATGTCACAAATGAAAGAAATGGAAGAAAGCAAACCACTGGATATAGAGTTCAAAACCACAGTTATATGGTTACTCAAGAATATTCTAGAAACCTCAGAGGAACTTAGTGAGACTTTCAAGGATCTTAATGAGAATGCCAAAAAAATGGAAAAGGACCAGTCAGAAATTAAGCATACACTGACCGAAATAAATAATAATATAGAGATCCAACAGTAGATTAGAGGATCCCGAGAATCAAATCAATGATTTGAAATATGAGGGAGCAAAAAACACCCAACCAGAAGTGCAAAAGGAAAAAAGAATCCAAAAATATGAAGATAGTGTAAGCAGCCTCTGGGACAACTTCAAGCGTACCAATATCCGAATTATGGGGGTGCCAGAAGAAGGCAGAGAGCAAGATACTGAGAACCTATTTGAAGAAATAATAACAGAAAACTTTCCCCTACCTGGTGAAAGAAATAGAGTTACAAGTCCAGGAGTGTAGAGAATCCCAAACAAGAGGAATCCAAAGAGGACCACACCAAGACACATCATAATTAAAATGCCAAGGGCAAAAGACAAAGAGAGACTCTTAAAAGCAGCAAGAGAAAAACAGTTAGTTACTGTGCCGAGCCAGCTCAGCCAAGGGTTCAAAAGCCTGAGTGAGGGCGGCGAATGGATGAAGAAAAGACAGACAGAGAGAATAAGCTGGGTCTAGGTCAGTGATGGCGAACCTATGACACGCATGTCAGAGGTGACACGCAAACTCATTTTTTTGGTTGATTTTTGTTAAATGGCATTTAAATATATAAAATAAGTATCAAAAACATAAATCTTTGTTTTACTATGGTTGCAAATATCAAAAAAATTCTATATGTGACACGGCACCAGAGTTAAGTTAGGGTTTTTCAAAATGCTGACACACTGAGCTCAAAAGGTTCGCCACCACTGGTCTAGGTGGATCTTCCTGTGCCTGGCTGAGGCCACAGAGAGAGATCCAGAGGCAAGCTGAGCCTTTATTTTATAGTCAGAGGTAAACAAGGTAGTGGCTACCATAGTTACACTATTCTTGTGAGTTTCACTTGTTTTGGCAGCACTTGCTGCACCTTCCACAGCCCATTAGCTACCTACGAAGGATCTAGGGAGCATCATAAGGTCAAGCCTAATTATGCTAAGAGGACTGTGCCCTCTAAGCTGGGACTTGTTTGTGGCTTTGCCAACAGGTCAGTCCGAGGCTTAACCCTATTATAGCTGCACTCTACAAATTACCTAGAAGGGAGTGCCCATATGATTGTCAGCTGATTTCTCAACAGAAACTATGCAAGCCAGAAGGGAATGGCAAGAAACATTCAAAGTGATGAATAGCAAGAACCTACAACCAAGATTACTCTAACCAGCAAAGCTATCATTTAGAATTGAAGGTCAGATAAAGAGCTTCACAAACAAGAAAAAGCTAAAGGAGATCATCACCACCAAACCAGTATTATATGAAATGCTGAAGGGTATTCCTTAAAAAGAGGAAGAAGAAGAAAAAGATAAAAAATATGAACAACAAAGTGATAACAAATACATATCTATCAACAACTGAATCTAAAAATCAAATGAATAAAAAATCTGATGAATAGAATAAAGTGGTGAATGGAATAGAATCAAGGGCATGGAAATGGAACAGACTGATGATACTCAGAGGGGAGAGGGTGTGTGGGGGGGGGGATGCGGGAAGAGATTAGAAAAAGATCTTATAAGCATGTAAGCATTACATATGGATATAGACAATAGGGTGGCAATAGCCTGGTGCGGGGTGGGAACCAGGTGGAGGAAAGCTATGGGGGGTGGGGGGGAAATGGACATCTGTAATAATATCAACAATAAAGATTAAAAATAAAAATCTATGAAGACCAAAAGGAAACAACACAAACGGGAAAAAAAGAGTCAAACAGTATGGTGTTTATACAGAAACAGCAAATATCTCCTTCTCTGCCACCCCCAACTTCCCAGAGGTACCTTCACTTAGGCACCATTAATAATGCCTTTGTTTTCTCCCAGACGTATTGTAGACAAATATCAGGAAATATAATTTTTATTCCACAACAATGAAGCACATATTAGACTTACCATTGTACCACCTGGTTTTCCAATAAACAGTATTTCTTGGACACCCTTTCATCACATATACCTACTTTCTGATAGCTATAGAGTTAAAATAAAGGTTTTAACCCACAATGTATATTACTAGAAGCCAGTGTAAGAGCCCTGATTATAGTTGATGGAAATTCTAAAGTCCAAGAAAGAAGAACCAAACAGAGATTAGATTCCCCAGACAATTAAAAGGAAAAATAGAATTTAGATACAGAAGTCAGGCTACCAAAACCAGTTCCAGAGAGAAATTTGTAGTGTAGTCATGAGTTACAGATGCAGTTCACAGAGGCCAAGAAAGGGGTTCTGAACCCAAAACAAAGAAATGGTTAATTAGGACATTCTGAAGACATGGTCCAAGAAACCCCCGATAGAGTCAAGGGTCAGATACCTTTAAAGATTTTATGCCAAAATTGAGATGTTGCAGGGTGGGCACCTAACTATGAAGGACCTTGGAAATCAAAGGAAGGAGTAAAAAGAGGCTACTCAATTTTGGACTGTAAAGTTCAAAATAAAATTATTTAGAAAAAAAGAAAAGTGTCCCCAATTTGCTGGAGATGGAGTAAGAAGCATCAACTGTGTGAAGAAGCAAAATAGTTGCTCTTTTCTCTTTTATCCAGACATGAATAATGTTAACTACTAACAGAGTAAAATAAGGCTAGGTTCATGTAATGGAGCTCATGAACACAGATACACCCTAAAATGTCTTGATCTAATAACAGCAGGACACTTAAACTTACCGGTAATGCACCGCAGTTACAGTATGAGAGAAGACAGGGAAAAGGGGCAATAAGCTTCAGAGTTGAGACCTCGCTACAAGAAGTGAGCTTCCTTTTTAAAGAGCCCTCCTGAGTAGGAAGAGCAGCGTGACTAAGTAAACCAAATCATGGGTTTCATTCCACACCACCCTCACAGCCCCCAAGAAATACAAACATACATACCTCATGCCAATCAGCAAAAGCGGCAATACATGGGAATGAATAGACCCTGTAAAACACTTCACAATTAAAAAGGTAATAATATGGATGCAACCCATGTACCACCTACAGATGTTCTGCAAACAAGCATTTATAACTAGGGGATGCCATCAAGTCTCTTGGTACAAAGTATGGAAGAGGACCTTAAACCTCCAAGTGGAGATCCATTGTGGCTGGATTTCAAGTCTCCATCTGTTAGCCTACAAGCCAGGTTTACCAATACTATATCTCTGCTCAGTCACTTGGCAAAATCCCCAATGAAAGGAGTGAATTTAGCAAATATCTTTTCATCACGTACTTTACTGTCCATAATACACCTCTCCCTCGTGGCCTCAAGTCTGTAGGGGATCACTCTTCATAAAATCTTCCCAGAGAACATAATGTTAAAAATACTCCAAATCATAAATATGCTAAAAGACTGATAGAGATTATTTTTCAAAACACAAATGAATCAATAGGGAGAATGTGTCTAATCTTCTGAGGTTTCCACTCAATAACTCTGTAGTACTCAATAAATTATGTATCCTATATTCTGTCCTAAAATAAAATAAAATAAATCCTAGATTTTTTTACATTAGACATTTTCAAATACATCTAGCCAATAAAATAATGCTCAGAGAAACATCTTACCTTCTTTGGTCACCAAGTCTGTTGTTTAGGTAATTGAGAAACAGCCTACTGTCCTTCAAAGTAAATAATGCAAGTTTTTTAACAGAACACCAAGATGTCTTAGTTAAATAGTACTACTCTCACCAGCACGTAAGGGCCAGTGTGTGCCTCTAAATTTCCAGGATATAGTAATATCACAAGGCTTCACAAGGATTCATTATTATGTGCTAACTAAAATAATACTTTGTGTCACAAAGAGGAAGCTCCAGGCATATGTTCTAGAAGGAGTCCCCCAGCCAGGAGATTTTCAGCTGAGGAATGTGTAGGTCTCCGAAAGTTATATGCGCAATTACATTTCTCCTGGTTAGAAGAGTAGCAATAGAAATACATCTTACTGATGAGCTGTATTACAATATGTGATTAACCCACTGGGCATCCATTTCCCTAACATCTGCCCAGCACAAGCCAACCACAAACCCATAAAACTTACTGACTTTGGGTTTACCTGGTTATATTATCACCTGCCAATTTTCCTTATCCAGAATACTCTTTCCTGCTACTTCTGAGTTTTCTCTCCCAGTATATGTTCTAAGAATAAAGAATATTTTTTAGAGTTCTCCTATCCAACAGCTATTAGGAAGGTAAATGTGTTGCCTCCAAAATTCAAAAGCCAAAGAGACTCTGATCCAGGCATTTTGTCCCTTTTGTCAAAGTGAAGACTGGCTGTTGTCTTCAGTCCTTACCCTCTGTCTATATTCAGCACAAAATAGACAACGGTAATCTAAACCTTCATATAAAAACAGTTCAATTAAGAAGTTGATGGCTCTGGAGTGGGGGGTATAACTTGAAAACCAGGATAATTACTTTTGTCTTATTTTCATCTAATTTCCATGCAGATGAGGGCATGACACAGAGGAGAAAAGAAACTAACATCTGAGTGTCCTAGCACTTTCATTTTCTCTCATTTAATCCTCTAAATATTGAGATCAGTTTCATTTTCATTTTACAGATGAAGACACTCAGGTTTCTCCTAAATCAACTTGCCAAAATGCAAGCATCAAAATACATATAAATCAGGAAGGTGGGACTCCAGGGGCTCATGGTGTTTCTATACAGATCAAACTAAATCCTGACTATTGCAGATCTGGCCATAGGCTCAAAGTCAAATATAATATATTTAATTATATATTTAAAGGTTTAGATTTAACAGAATCCTAATTGCATAGCCATTTACCAAAAAGCTTTTGTTCAACATGAATACAGCTATAAAGAATTTTACCTTTTCTGCCCTGGCTGGTGTGGTCAGTGGTTAGAATGCCAGCCCAAGAACTGAAAGGTCTCGGTTTCAATCCCAGGTCAAGGATACGTACCTGGGTTGTCATTAGCTTCCCGCATCCCGACCCCTGGTCAGGGCACATGAGGGAGGGAGGCAACTAATCAATTTGTCTTTCTACATTTCTTTCTTTCTTTCTTTCTCTCTATCTCCCCCCCTCCCTTCCACTCTCTCTAAAAATCAATGGATAACGTATCTTCAGGTGAGAATTAACAACAACAAAAATAAATATAGATTAAACAGAATTTTGAGGACCAGGAATCGCACCGTTTCAAATTCGTGATCCTTAATTTTTTTGAAAGCTTCAGCAATGACGTCATCCTCAAACCACTGATGGACAAGGTCATCCCTTGATTGTTTAGTTGTCAGTCTACACAATGCTTCAGAAAGAGCAACCTGCTGGCCATAATCTAGAGATTAAAAACATGGCAGACATGGGTAATTCTAGACTCAAAGCAAAAGAAGAAATGAGTTCCAAAGATTAGCACTTGCTCTAAGAAATTCCATCTTAGAAGCCTAGCATCGTCTTATAAGCAGCAAGATGTATCCAGGAGTAATTACAATAATTTAAATTCAATATTTAAGAAATAGGAAAAAATCTAAACAGTAGGTCAGCATATAACAATTTTAAATAAATATCTTTGCATTTTATATTACATATATTAAACATTCATCAAAAACAGCTCATCAAATAGCCTTTAAAAAATAATTCTACTGCCGAAACCGGTTTGGCTCAGTGGATAGAGCGTCGGCCTGCGGACTGAAGGGTCCCAGGTTCGATTCCGGTCAAGGGCATGTACCTTGGTTGCAGGCACATCCCCAGTGGGGGGTGTGAAGGAGGCAGCTGATCGATGTTTCTCTCTCATTGATGTTTCTAACTCTCTATCCCTCTTCCTTCCTCTCTGTAAAAAACCAATAAAATATATGTAAAATTAATAATAATAATAATTCTACTACAAAGATTAAATTTCAAGACTGATTGTGGAATTTCACAGAAGATTAATAAAAACTACATATATCAGCATGTTTAAATCTCAAATAATTCTAAGGATAAAAAGAAAGTTGCAGCTGTATATGTACCTCAGGATGAGATTTAGAAAATGCTTTTAAAATCGCAAAACAATAATGTATGTTGCTTTTGAATACATAATGAAAAAGTAAAACAATATACTTAAGAATGAAAAACAAATCCAAGTCAAGGATTACCTCCACCAATAAAGAGGGGATTGGGAACAGTGACATGGACCCAAATTTAGTTTTAAAAATATTTGAAACGAATGTGGCAAAATGATAATATTTGATAAAGCTGGTTGGTGAGTAAATGAGCATTCTTTAATTATTCTTTATGGTTTTTAGCATGCTGAAGTTTCTCATAGTAAATGAAAAACAAAATCCTAATTCTTATTTTCAATTTGGCCATAATTTATTCCCCATAGATTCAAGATGCTTAAAAACAAACAATCTAATGTCCAATATTTAATATTCTTATATTTAAAATTCTAAACATTTCTTACCACCCACAGTCAAGATTGTTCTTGCAAAATCTTTCCTGAAAAACATTTAGATAAACTGCATTTTACAGATATGATCCTAAGTAGGCAAAACTTCACTCTATTGACATTAGAATTTAAAACCAAGATTTATGTTTTTGAAATTATTTATTTCAATTTAGCATCAGCATTTTCTCAATGTCAAAAATAGATTTTTATGGCAATCTTTCTCAAGTTTGTATATTAATAACTTAAATGTACATTTTTTAAGACATACACACACACACCGCTGTAGTTCTAGTTCTCCTTCTGATCTCTGAGGATTCATCAAATGTTAAGATTCTGGAATTTTATAATCATCTCACCAACCTTGTGAGGATGTGTACCCTTTTTTTTAAACATAGTTTAACATCTGGAAGAAATATTAACAACAGGTGCTGTGAGTCTTTCCAGTGAGTTTTTGAACTTATTTTTAAAACTGATTATATTACAGGTATAGTGGGATTAAGTTATTACATTACTGTAACTAACACAGACTCCCATATTATACACAGAGTGCCCCCAACTTATAATGGTTTGACTTATATATTTTCGACCCACAATGGTGCAAAAACCATATGCATAATAAGTAACATGATATAGTCAACATTTTATTATAAAATAGGCTTTGTGTTAGATGACTGTTCCCAACTTTAGACTACATAAGTGTTCTAAGCACACCTAAGGTCGGTTAGGCTCAGCTATGATGATAGTAGGTTAGGTATAGTCCATTCATTTTCAACTAATAATATTTCCAATTTATGATGTGCTTACTGGGACATAACCCCATTGCAAGTAGAAGAGCATCTGTATTTAACAATTTTAATTAAATGCTAATAAGTGTGATGAAGACTTTTTTAATGTTTGAAATAACTCTCGTTTTAAAGAACAGATTTGTTAAGAAATCTTGGAGTACTTTGGTTTCTCATAATAAATGATTGATTTGTTACTATTAAATAGAAGCCTTAAAACAGCACCACTGAGAGTTCTGCATAATTTTATACTTGCATATTTTACTTGTAACCTAGAATACTCCAAACTTTCTGGAACACACAAACAATAAGGTAGGAAGGACCATAGGATTAGACTGAAAGCTTAGGAGAAAAATTCAGTCAGCTCCGAATCCAGAACCTCCTGATCAGTTTGATGTATATTAATAAACTGTGATTTTACAATAACATCATCATTTGCAGTTATTGTTTACAAAACTGCTTTTACCTTAAACTTTGTAGATGCTTACATTTTTTATTTGTTTGTTTTAAGATAATGTTGGTAATTTGTGCATTTAACTCTATTCAGAACAGAGCTAAAAGCATCGTTGTCTTCTTTCGAATTACACTCAGGGGTCTGACAGATGGTTTTATTTACTTATTTTTTTAATACACTTGAAAAAAGGTTGGAGTAACCAGACTTTCATATATAACTTGGTGATTATCAAAGTCTAAATACACCACTAAGAATAATGATTGTGTCCTAGCCGGGTGGCTCAGTTGGTTGGAGCACTGCTCCCTGCACCTGAAGGTTTCGGGGTCCATCCTCAATCAGCATGCTTAAGGGAGGCAACCATCAATGTTTCTCTCTTGCATCGAAGTTTCCCTCCCTCTCTTTCTCCCCCTTCCTCTCTCTCTAAATATATTTTTTATTTATTTCAGAAAGGGAGAGAGAGAGAGAAACATCAATGATGAGAGAGAATCATTGATCGGCTGCCTCCTGCACGCCCCCTACTGGGGATCGAGCCCACAACCTCGGCATGTGCCCTTGGCCGGAATCAAACTTGGGACCCTTCAGTCTGCAGGCTGACACTCTATCCACAGAGCCAAACTGGCGAGGGTTCTCTCTAAAAAATCAATTAGAATGTATCCTTGGGTGAGGATTTTTAAAAAAGAATGATTTCCCTAATAAAGTGGTTCTCAACCTTCCTAATGCCGTGACCCTTTAATACAGTTCCTCATGTTGTGGTGACCCCCACTTTCATTATTACAAATTGAACATAATGAAAGCATAGTGATTAATCACAAAAACAATATGTAATTATATATGTGTTTTCTGATGGTCTTAGGCGACCCCTGTGAAAGGGTCGTTCAACCCCCAAAGGGGTCGCGACCCACAGGTTGAGAACCGCTGCCCTAATATATTCAATAAATATTGTTTAGGAAAACCTTAGTGGAAAAACTGCATCCTGCACAGACTAGCTAAATGGACAAACATTATAGCCACGAGCTCGTGCTGACCAGCCGCCTCTTCCAGGCCTACCCTATGGTACACCTGGTCACCCTCCTCACGCAGGCATGGGTGCTTCTCCCATGAAGGACTGCGTGCCACTCTGACGCCACCTATGCTAGTGAGTGGTTAGCTCACAGTCACAGGACTAAGTTCAACTTCAAAACGGGGGCAGGTTTTGCTCTTTCCATGGTCACACATTACAACCTTCACTCCAAATTTCAACGTCCCCAAACTCATAATTGTGAGTGAGGCACCAAAATGCAAATATAAATTCCATGCCCTACTGGTATGTTAATAGTTGGTAACCTTTGGATATTTGCTCTCTACTAGGTAATGTGCTCATCACTTTCAATGGATTGCCTGATTCAACCAGTACATAACTAGCAATCAGGTATTAATGTTAGCTCCATTTTATTGGCAAGCAAACCGAGGTACAGTGAGGTTAAGACTGTGCTCTAGATAATGCAATGAGCATAAATGGCAAAATCAGGATCTGAGGCCAAGCAGTTCACCAGCAGGATCTATACTCAACAGTGTCCCATGAGTAACTAGCAATTTAGTTCACAGTGACAGTGAAAAAATTATCTATAGTCCGAGAAAGCATTTTACCTCACAAACTTGATGGGGAAAAAATTATAAACCCATACTACTAAAAAACAAACACAAAAACAAAAAATACTACAAAAAACAAACAAAAAAATCCATACTTCAAAAAACAAACAAATGAAAACAAAACAGCCCTAGCTGGCTTGGCTCAGTGAATAGAGCGTCAGCCTGGGGACTGAGGGTACCAGGTTTGATTCCTGTCAAGGGTACATGCCCAGGTTGTGGGCTTGATGGTCCCTAGTGGGAGGTGTGCAGAAGGCAGCTGATCAATGGTTCTCTCTTACTATTAATGTTTCTATCTCTCTCTCCCTCTCCCTTCTTCTCTGAAATCAATAAAAATATATTTTTTAAAAACCTGAGGTTTTAAAAATAAAAAACAACACACATACACCCCATACTACTAAAAAAGAAAAGCTTAAAAAAGGCTAGTTTTTTCCCCTCAGTCCTTCTTCACTGCTTAGCGTAGTGCCAGACTCATTATAAGTGCAAAGCATTTGCTGAAGGAAGGAATGAAGCGATCAGGCCTGAGGAGAACAAAGAGAGATTTTGCCTGACATCATCACAGAGTTGAGTACAAGGTCACTTACATGAGATGACACCGGTCTTCTGATGAGGGGAGTTTTCTCTCTTCCCAAGGTACAGCATGCAAAATGCTGTTCAAAGTCATCAAAGCCTGTTCAGAGTTGGAGAAAAGCATCCATAGGGAAGAAACAAAACAGGGACCAGTGCACAACCTTCTCCCAGGTTTCTACTTTGTTATCTGCTTTGTTATTTGCAACTTACCTCTTGTTGAATCAAATGATTGACTGTCTTTTCTGTCACCAGAAATCCTAAGGTAAACATGAAGGAATACAACATCTGAATTTTCCCTGAAAATATAATTTTAAAACAATCAAATGGATGCCGGAAAGAATAAGGAAATGCCTCCTACACTGCAGGAAGAGGCAAAGCCTGGAAATTACATAGTCTGCGCAAGACACCTGCTTTGAGGTCTAGAAACCACCAGGCCACAATACGCTTCCACTGTGCAGACACCCACCAAGGGAAACAAGAGCAGCACATGCAAAGTGGGACTGTTGTGATATCACAGCTCAAACAAAGCCACTTTGGTCCAGACTGAGCCATGTGCAAAGGGCAGCTCCTGCACAGTGTCCTCCTGCTTCTATGTGTTTCTTACATTTACATATTTTATAAAAGTTAAAATTTTATTTTTTATTTTATTTTTTATTGATTTCAGAGAAGAAGTAAGGGGGACAGATGGAAACATTAATGATGAGAGAAATCATTGATCAGCTGCCTCCTGTACGCCCCACACTGGAGACTGAGCCTGCAACCCATGCATATACCCAGAACCATGACCTCCTGGTTCATAGGTCAACACTCAACCACTAAGCCACACCACCTGGGCTAAAAATTAAAAATTTTAAAGGTCTTATGTTAACAGAAGCAGGAATTCTTTTTAAGTAAAGTGTTGACCTTTATTAAGTAGCATAATCACAGAAACGTCAACAACTATTTAGATGTCGGTACATAGCTTATAAATGGTATATGGTAATACTCGATGTTTATTAAACAACTAGAGGCCCGGTGCACAGATTCATGCGCCAGTGAGGTCCCTCAGCCTGGCCTGCGGGGATCAGGCCTAAACCGGCTCTCCAACATCCCCCAAGGGGTCCCGGATTGCAAGAGGGTGCAGGCCAGGCCGAGGGACCCCTAGTATGCATATGAGATCTTTAGTTAACCTTTTGTCACCCTCCCCCCTTCCCTCCGAGAAATTCATCAGTCTGTTCCATGTTTCCATGCCTGTGCAATGAGCATCTGCCCCCTGGTGGTCAGTGCACGTAATAGCTACCAGTTGAACAGTCAAACAGTCGCTTAGGCTTTTATATAGAGAGATTATTTTTTATTTTATTTAAGCACATTCTGATAAGATACGAAATGACAGCAGTAGTGTACATTGCAAAAATGTATAGTAAGATCACAGTATTATTTTGATAGGTTCAGATGTGCAATTTTGATATACGAATTATTCATCACATATCATATACTATTAAACTCCTATGTAACTTACGAAATTGTAGGAACCAAACCAGAAAGCAGTACTTTAAAAGGTCCCTCTTCAGCTCTGGCTAGTGTGGCTCAGTTGTTTGGACACTGTCCCATGCACCGAAAGGCTGCTGGTTCAATTCCCAGTTATAGGTAATTGCAGTTTTGCTCTCACATCAATTTTCTCTCTCTCCCCCTCTCCCTTCCTCTCTCTCTAAAAATCAATAGAAATGTTTGTGTGTTTTTTAAAGATCCCTCTCCAGTCCCGAAAGAGCCAGATTAACACTGCTAGATAATCTCTGGAAACCAGACATATGGCTAGGGACTGCGGCAACAACTTGCCTGTCAGCTTATAACTTGAGACGAAGATTCTAACAGAGCCCAGGTGGACAGCAGGGGACCTTAAAGATATTAATGCACCCTATTAGCAAATATCAGCTGTCATTAGATCTTTTCATTTAAAGGGTAATAAAGAAAAGCTAACAAACATAATGTTAGGGTTGCCAAGGAGGAACGCATGAGGCCAAAAGGGGTAAAGAATTTTGAATTTATTAGGTCATCTGGATACCAGATGGGCTGAGCCCCAAAATGGCGCCAGCACCCAGGGACCGGGAGTCAGAGGTTTTAAAGGACTCTAGGCGGGCTTTTTCTGGGAGGAGAATTGTCTGGGCGGGTTCTGAGGGAAAGATAATGGTCTTAGCAAGTGGAATGTGGTCTTAGCAACTGAAATGCGGTCTAAGCAAAAGGGAATGTCAGTTGTGAAGGGGTCTAAAGGTCAGTTCCCAGGGGAGTGGATGTTGATTCAATTATTTGATCAGACCTAATATACTGCCCACTGAAAAAGGAGAGAGGAGCATGGCAAGTCAAAAGGTAGCAGAAAAGTGACTTTTGAAAATATGCTTACTTCAGGAAACAAATTTTTTTTTTGAAGCATCTGAGTTATCATCTCAAATGAACACAGAATTCTATGAAATAAAAAATTAGATCTGCAAGAAAAGGCAACAGTCTAAAATGAACATAGAGAACACAGAAGTAAATGAGAAAGAAACATGCAATATGAAAATTGAAGTTATTCTAGATATTTCAATCTGAGGGAACTTAATACAGGAAATTAATTACAAAAACAATGAAAGAAGCTAAGAAGTCAAATTGGAAACAGTGAGGTGGCCCAGAAATTAACATCATTAACATAATTATTAGCCCCTTCCCAGCTGAACCCTCCCCCAAAGTCACCTGGAGGAAGTGGGAGGTATTACCAGATCCCAAGAATCAAGGTCACCTAGCAAAAGCTCTAGTAACATGAGAGGGCCAGAGCCACAGAGACTATGCAGACACTCCTGGAGGTGGCACTGCAGAAGGGAGGGGAGAAATGCCTTCTCTGCTCCTTCCTGCTGCTAATTTCTTTCCTTTGGCTAAACCTAGCAGGCAGCCAGTGGATAAGAAAACCTAGAGAGAGAGAGAGAGAGAGAGAGAGAGAGATGGGTATAAAAGTAGAGGCAGATCACACCCACCACAGGAAGAAAGATGTGATAGCAGAATTCAAGTCTGCACTGGAAGCAATGAGCAGAATTAGTTAAAGCGATGGTTTCCAAGAAAAACTTAAGAACTGCTTTCAAAATACACAGGGGGAAATGACAAAAAATGATGCATATGAAGACAAAAAAGATGTAAAGGATGAATAACACATAATCTTACAAAGAGACTAGAATGGAAGGAGTCACTGTAATGGACTTTTTGGTGCCTTCCCATCATCCTTTCCCCTTCCTCTGTTATGCAGCAGTCTTTCTATGGGATGGGCAGACTTGCTTCAGGGGTGGATCCTGATTGGCTTAAGCTATGCTGGGACATCCCATTCACCTTTTCATAGTGATTGGTTCATTAAAAGGGCATCCCGTTAGAGCAAAGCTAGGGCTTCCTTTTGATGGTTGAAGAAAGAGAACGTTTCTTTCCCTGGACATGAACATAGAAGCACAAAGTGCTGGTTACTGGCCACCATCTAATAACCATCAAGGGAGACCAACTTGAAAGCAGACTCGAGACTCTGAGGAAGGCAGAATTGAAAGAACTGCAGTGAATGGCGCATAGCCACAACCAAACTTCTCCTGAAACTCCTGTCTCTGGACTTTTTAGCTCCTGTGCCTGTAATTTATCTTGATCAGTCAAGCCTACTTGAACTAGATATTGTGACATATACCAAAAAACGCTTTAACTCTGTGGTTTTCAACTAGAGATGATTTTTACCCCCACCTTCACCCAGGGAGGCACTTAGCAATTTTTGGAGATTTTTTTTAGCTTGTTACAACTGGGGAAGTGGGAGGGGCTGCTATTGGCATCTAGTGGATAAAGGCTATGGAAGCTGCCAAACATGCTAGATGTACAGGACAGCAATCACCCCAAAACAAAGAATTATCTGGCCCCAAATGGCAATACTGTCAGAGTTGAGAAACGCTGCTCTAACTGATAAAGTTATCAAAGAATAAAATGTCCCAAAAGGAACAAGTAAGATTTGATTCAACATAACTCAAGAACCAGCTAAAACAAACTTGTTGCGTGTGCAATGCTCTCAACATTTAATATTAGAAGTCAATGAGAATCTGCAAAGCAAGAGTGTATAAAAGCCACAAAGGCATTCTTAAACAATAAGAAATTCTGACTAGCCCTAACCGGTTTGGCTCCTATGGATAGAGTGTCAGCCTGCGAACTGAAGGGTCCCGGGTTCGATTCCAGTCAAGGGCATGTACCTACATCCCCAGTAGGAGGTCTGCAGGAAACAGCTGATCGATGTTTCTCATCGATGCTTCTAACTCTCTATCTCTCCCTCTTCCTCTCTGTAAAATATCAATAAAATATATTTTTTAAAAAAAAATAAAGAAGCTCTGACTATATCCAAGCCACACACCCCAATAACACTCTTCCAAATATTTTATAGCAGATGGAGACAACACAGAACAATGAGGACATCACAGTATAAACAGGTTGGTAGTGACCTTAAGTAATTACTGTAAATAGAACTGCAGCACAAGGCAAAGAGTAAATACTGTTTACAAAGATATATCCATTATCCAAGCCTACAACCAAGATTAATCTAAATAAGTCCAGATGAAAGATGGAGGAGGAATAAAAATTGAATTCCTTACTATATAGTAGAAAGAAAAAATATGGTGCTATAATTTTGATGCTGATAATTAGATTGAGTAATTAGATTAAGAGTATAATAAAACTCGAACATAAGCTATTCAAGCCACTAGAGAGAAGCAAATTGTGAAAGAAAATATAACCCATATAGCAAAGCACAAAACAAAGGAATTATAAAATGGAACAATCCAGTAAGATGACATAAGTCTTGGAACAAAATGGAAAGAATAATTCTATCAATGGCAGGAGGATATGGGAATGTCAGTGAAAACATCTTTGTACTTCAAAGAAAGAGATTAGTTCCCAATTTTGTAGAGCCTGGACATAACAATTCCCCCGGCAAAATGACTGTCAGAGTTCACATGTGAAAATCTGACACTTGCAGATTTTCACATGTGGCCAGAATGGGCTCCAAGCACAAACTGTCATTGCTATGGGTTTACGTGTTTTCCCCCAAAATTAACAGGTTGAAGCTCTAACCTGAATGTGATGGCATTTGAAATGGGCTCCTTAGAAAGGAAATTAGAACTAGATGAGGTCATGAGGGTGAGGTCCTCATGATGAAAGTAGGGCCTTTATAAGACAAGACACCAGAGAGTTGACTTGCTCTCTGCCATGTGAGGACACAGCAAGAAGGTGGCCACCTGCACGCCAGGAATAGAGTTCTCACCAGAACCCAACATCCTGGCATCCTGATCTCAAACTTCCAGCTTCCAGAACTGTGAGAAAATAAATTTCTGTTGGGTAAGCCAATAAGCCTATGGTATTTTGTGATGGCAGCTGGGGATTATTAAAACAGTTAGTACATCTAGAGCAGGGTACTAACTAGATCTCTCTAATATGTATTTTTCCCCAAATATGCAATGATATCCACTGCTGTAATAAAAGACAAATTTATTTTTAAATGTTACAAAATTCAAAGTAGTTTTACTGTTGTGTATTTCATTAATCAATTTTAGAGACAGTAACTATCACTTATGAAGTTCATAAAAAGTTGGCTTGAAACTATTTGGATCCACTGACTAGGATAGGGGGACCTTTTTATTGTTTTAATCAAGTAAACACCATATAACTAATCTTCTAGCACTGAATTTCTTCTCTTATGAGATACCATCCATTGTAGAATATAATATCAATTTAATAACAGCTTCTCAAAAGAAAAATAAGAAGTTAGACAATAGGAAGAGAACATATCCATTTTAAGATGGCCTCAATTTCTGAAATATTCAAATATTTTCAGTGTGTTTGAATCCATAGTATCATAATTCAAGATATCCAATTACCTTTGAGTAAATGGAACAGAATTATCAGTATAACTTCCAAATATTCTAAAAATTTGCCTTTTACACTCTTGAAAGACAGAAGGTATCTGAATCAGCTCCAAGTCAAATCAGTAAGAGCTAAACTTTGCTGGTTCCTCGTGACAAAAGTGGCTCTCCAGTCTGAATAGAGCAGGTAGCCAATGGGATAGGAGCAGCTAAATTAAGGTAGTCCTCAGGCTGAGGCAAACTTTACAACAAAGCTCACTTCAACATCACATATGATGGTCAATAAATGCAAATATAACAGTTAAACCCACTTTACTTTTATATATCATTTAGATAAATATTCTCCCTGTAACAGAATATTCTATTAATAAAAAGTAAACAGGCAATTAGTGGTAAATAATTCCCTTACCTTTACTACTCCTCCTGGAAATAATCTAATAAAACGAGAAAAAGTAAAGCTTGTACTTAAAAAAAAATTATAAACTATAATGTTTATACATTAATGCTGACATTTCTCTAACAGGCAGAATTGACTTTAAATACAGTAGAAAAAAAATTTAGAGAAATCCTATTTGATCTTCACTTTATTAAAAACAGCATATCACTGTTAATCAGGTGAATAATATACTAGTATGTACGAAAATAAAACACCTCATCTTTTTATAACATTGATTATATTAATGCTTGCTTGTATTTGACATATATTCTAATAGTAACATTTTTAGTAAAACCCACATCTTAGAAAAATGTAAGTTTTAGAAATAACTCAAAGATTCCTGCAAATTACCAATGTTATCTATTCAGCAAAGCATCCACCCCTTTCCTTACCAGCACTGTGTCAAAGAAGTCTTCCGTGACATTAGTCAGGGATGTGTCTGAAGCAAGATCTTCCATGGTCAGAAATTCTACTGTTCTTTCAAACCAGGTAGCCATGTGCATGAGAAGAAGAAACACAGATGGAATTCCCATGACTGCATAACTACTCCCTATTCAATAAAATTTTGTAAGATAATTCTTTCACTAGAGCAAATAATTTTAAAGACCTTTTCCCGTTCCATCAGTTCCACTGGGCCTGGCTCTGAGGCCTCCATTTAGAACACTCCAGGATGGTATCATACTGCTACCGAGTTGCAGTAAGTTTTCAGATACCAGCAAGAAATGGTTAGACTTGGCCAGTAGCAATGCCAGAGAGGCACATGAAGGGACTAGTGAGGAAGGGTGAAGAGGTAAATGAGCTCCCAGCACAGGAGGAGTTCCTGTCCTCTGGGAAGCTGTAGAAGACAAGCTATCCAAAGAGATGCAGAATTTGGAACGTGCTCCAGAAGTACACATAGTACAGTACATATGCCTACATCTGGCTACATTTCTTTTGCCTTTCTTTTCCAGCTACTTGGAGATTTTTCTTTTCTACAGGCATATATATCTAAATTCATATTACATTGCTAAGATTGGGATGATTTAAAATACACTTCTATAAACCCTCCTACCACATATTGATTCAATTAAGCAAAGGCCATTTTCACTCTTACGGAAAAAAAAGAAAAAGGGAAAACCCCGCGCGCATAGTTAGAAGCTATCAGTTGAACACAAAGTCGGTGACATGAGCTCATGATGAACAATTCTTATCGGAGTGGGGCTTGGAAGCTGTCCAATTTGGAGCCAAGAACACAAGGCACACCCGCTGAAGACCATGAACAAATCAATCAGCTCTCACCGTTGGCTGCACATTCGGGGAACCCTGGGAGCTCTGAAACACCGAAGGCCTGGGACCCATCACAGATCCAGTAAACCTGAATCTCATCATGAAAAGGGAACTCTGCTTTGCTTCCAGATGCCATTATAAGGCACCCACAATGTTACCTTCTAGTTAATTAAAAAGCAGAATAGCCGAAACCGGTTTGGCTCAGTGGATAGAGCATCGGCCTGCGGACTGAGGGGTCCCGGGTTCGATTCCGGTCAAGGGCATGTACCTGGGTTTCGGGCACATCCCCAGTGGGGGATGTGCAGGAGGCGGCTGGTCGATGTTTCTCTCTCATCGATGTTTCTGACTCTCTATCTCTCTCCCTACCTCTCTGTAAAAAATCAATAAAATATATTTAAAAAAAAAAAAAAGCAGAATAGAATTTCATAATTGGGATGACCTAAAATAAACATAAAATGTTTTTGCCATTTTTTTTTCTGCTTTAACTGGGATTTTTAGAAAGTTGGAAAAGTGGACTATGGCAAGGGGAAGTATTTGATAACTTATCTAGGTCCAATCTTGTTACTAACATCTATTAAAATACTTTTAGAGCCTTTGATGGGGAAGAAGTGTGGAATAGTCTACTCCTCTCATCCTATATTTCTGAGTCAAATTCACTAAAATAATTAAAACATGTGATCACTGCATTGGTTTGTCAAGGGGAGAAGGAGGTGGTGTCTGACTCCTTGCTGTAGGCTCCCAAAGTGCCCTGTCCAGCACCTCCATCAGGAAACATATGTTGACCTCAAGTTTTAATTGGATATCTATAATAATAAAAGCATAATATGCTAATTAGACCAGATGTCCTTCCGGACAACCTTCTGGATGAAGCCGGGGCTGCGAGTGAAGCCCAGGTCCTGGGTGCTAGAGGGAAGCCGGTGCCGGCAGCTGGGGGAAGGAAGGCCTACTCTTGTATGAATTTCGTGCATCGGGCCTCTAGTGGGCAATAAACTTTGTTGCCAATTTGTTTTCATATTTGATTTTAAAGGAACAGAAAATACCAAACTTCATGAGATAACTGAATCCACTCTAGTTCTTTAAGTTACCCAAAGCCATACAAAATTAAAACAGGACACTTATCTTTGGGATCAGTCCCTGCTGAATTAGCAAAGGCTCATCTTCTTTGAGGCCATCAATGAAGAACCGCTGAATGCATTTCAGCAACAGTGAAACATACTGAAATTCATTTTTATCCAGTTCCTAGGTATGAGACCACACTAAGTTAGAAGTCTTACAGTGAAAGTTAAGAGGGTAGATTTGAAGTGTTCTCATCACAAGGAAAAATATATATTTTTTTAATTTTCTTTTATTTTGTATTATATGAGATGACAGATGATAACTAAACGTACCGTGGCAATCATTTCCCATCCGTATGTAAGTCGAATCACTATACCATATCCCTTAAACTTATACAGTGCTGCATGCTAATTACATTTAAATAAAACTGGAGGGAAAGCCTGACAAAGTATCATTACACACTGGGATTCTGGTCAGATAACAAAACAAAACAACTTACTTGCCTTATTTATAGATTTGTCAAGATGGTATAATTCAAGATGATTATATTTTTGAGGAATGTGGCTCCCTCTCTGTTGAAAATATTCTTTTATTTTCTGAAATCCTTTACCATGGAATGCATCAATAATAAGTGACTGAAGCTGGAAAGTTGATAGTTTGCAAATTACTTTTTTCCCAAAAACATTAATTTTGTAGTAACATTTGTAACTACTATTCTCAACAATAATTCAATGTGGAAATAATAAAAGGTAACTATAAAACAGAGTTATATCTTGAGCAGTAAATAGTCATGTAGCCAGTGAGCAAGTTCATTGGCTTAAGATAGTACAGGCCCATCTCGGAGATATTGCAGGCTCAGTTCCAGACCACCCCAATGAAGCAAGTATCACAACAAAGCCAGTCGTAACCTTTCTCCTGGTAGAAGGTTTTCCCTTCAGTTTGTAAAAAAAAAAAAAAAAAAAAAAAAAGCAACACCTGTGAAGTGCAATAAAGCAAAGCACAATAAAATGAGGTATGCCTGCAGTTTCCAAATGTGGTTCCTGGACCACCAGTAGCATGGGCATCACCTGAGACTCATTAGGAATCAGAAACATTGAGGGTGGTGTTCAGGTGGTTATCATCATGCTAAAGTTTGAGAACCACTGACTTAAGAGAAATTGCACTTGAGTTACAGATATCTGAGGGTGAAGAATGTTAATTATCACTAATGTCAGAAATTCTAAAACACTAAAAAATTCAAGCCTAATATCACCCAAGAAACATGAATGATCATAAAAGGAAGAAAATTACTCCACTAATAATGACAGATAATAAAAGCTGATAAATATGTAAATTGCCAGGATAAAACTGATTTTTTCTGAACATTTGCCAAGACATACTTCTAAGTATACACTTGAATAATACAATTCCTTAATTATCTGTGCGACAGATATATGATTTTTTATTTATAAAAATCCAATCCAATCCTTCAGACTAAATTATAACATGTAAGGTTATTTTAATAAGGAGATATTTTACCATATACTGACCAAAATTCCACTTATCCTCAGTATAGATTTCTCATTTGAAATTAAATATTTAAACATTATTTTCTTTATTAAGTTACCACATAGTGAACCTTTTTGTGCCAAGTGAGTTAAGTGTTCTGCAGATGTTCTCATTTAATCCTCTCCACCACTCTGAGAGGTTCGATTCTTTTTCTGGGGATAATAATAGCAAGGCTGGGGAAGGTTAAGAACTTGCACAAGATCACCCAGCTGAGATTCACACTCAGGCTCTTTGACTCAGAACCTCAGCCTTCCACCTGCTTAACACTCTGCCTGGCTTCTCTGCGTCGGAAGTAACCCAAACCCTTTGCCTTGCTCTGCAGGGCTCCGCCTGGTTCGTTCTCTATCAGCTTCCTCTGCTTGCCCTCCCAGGCGTTGAATCTCAAATGAGTCAAACTCTTCCTTGCCTCAGGGCCTCTGCACTGGCTACTGGGGGCCTGGAACTCTTCTCCCCACAACTTTCCACCCTCCTGGCTCCTTGTCATCCCTCAAACCTCAGCTTCAGTATCCCATTTTCAGGTCTGTCTTCCAGAACCTTATCTAAAATAAGCCAAGTACCTCCCTCCACCCTTAGTCTCCATCACATACCCTGTTCCTTTTCCCCCTACTACCTTCCTTTGGTAATCTGTTTCTTTGGCTCTCTGCAAGGCTGTAAGCTCCATGAGGACACACTATGTTTGCTTTGTTCTGCACTGCCTACCTACATCTAGAATAGTGCCTCGCACAAGATGGCTTGACTACCTTAGACTTATCACAAGACCCCATGATAACTGGTTGTCAGAGATTAGGGAAGGAGAAGCAGCAAAAGGTGATTTGTCTGTCTTTGGTGTGAGCAACTGGAGGAACAGTTGTGCTGAAAGCCCAGGGAACAGAGAACTAGGAAGACCACACACACATACATACACATACAAAAAACACACACCACACCACCACCACCCCCCCACACACACACACACACCACACCTCCCCCCGCGCGCCCCCCACACACACTCACACAAAATTAACTTAATCTTTACATAGAAAGCATCCTGGGCCATTCCACTCCCATCATCTTCCTTAATAGACTGCAAAGGGCTTTCCTTTTCCTGTGAACAATAAAAAAAAAATTTTTATTTTTATTTTTAAAAATTCAGTTCAAGTTTTAAAAATAAAACAAAAGAAATAAAGGTTCATATTATTTTATTGAACAAAAAATTTTTGTTTGCTCATGCCCCTGATTTTAAGTCTAAGTAAGATACTGCTTATAAGATATGGGCTCTCTAGGAACAACTAGCCAACCTCTTTATCACTATCTATGAGAAATTCAGCTATCACAAGAAGCAAAGCAAACATCATTGTAATAACCACACACAAGATAGGTAAATTTAAACTCTATAGTGAGAACTATAAAATAAAAGAAAGGCTGTCAAGAATTTGTAAAATAAGGTTTTAAAAGATGCATTTCAACAACTACTACAGCAGGAATTTACAAAACAGCAGCACATTGTTACACATTTTCTTCAAAAAGTGGTCCCTGGGTCTGCCCTCATGGTTTTAACAGCACACTGTACTATGATAAGTAACAGCATCGCATCTCATCTGCTCACTTCTTCCTAATTAAATTAATTCAATGTAAAAGTATAACACAAAAAGAAATTTTTAAAAATCTCTTCTTCTAAAGCTTTTTAAAAATCTAGCTTGGGCGGACAACCCTACTTCCCTATGCACTTGCCCATATCCTTAAACGTCAGTATATTTTACAATGTTGTCATCATTTATAAATATGAAAAACAGGGAGAATTTAAAAAACCAAACCTAAACTTTTTTTTCTCACCAGCCGTGCATTCCGTTCAGTAAATGCTGAAAAGTATTGGCTCTGGTAGTGCCAATCCACACCCCACCCGGGTTGCGTTTTCGGGATTATCACTTCCCCGGGGCTGGCTGAAGTCCCAGCGCTCGGAACCACACTCCCGGGCCGCTGGGTTAACATCACTGCGCTGCGTACGCAGCAAGGTGGGGAACGGGCTCTAGGCAAACAGCCGAAGCAACTTGAAAAGAAACATCTTGCCTTCCAAGCATTGATTATCCACTTTCTCCCCCCGCCCCCCCCCCCCCCTCCCCGCAGCGCTCTATTAGCAAAGGACCAGGGGTTTCTTTTCGCACTGCAAGCTGCCAATAAACTCCACGCAGATCTAAAGCGGTGGAAGCGCTCAAAGGTTCCCCGAAGGGCTCCTCCCGCGGCGGCTGGGGCTCGGTGTCCGGAGCCAGTGAATGGGCGTGCACGCGAGGCTCTGCGCCCGGAGGCGGGCGGACCGCGCGCCCTGGCGCCCCTCTTGAACCGCGGGGAGGAGGCCGGGGCTAAAAGGCGCCGGGGTTCCCCGGTGTCACTCACCGCCTGCATCCCGAGGCTCCCGGCCCACGCCGCGCTCAAGTTCACGCGATTCTGCCTCCTGAGACCCGCGCGCTGGGATGCTGCCGGGAGAGCCCGGATAGACCACGGCTCTTGGATTCCAGTCTTGGCCAGGAAGGCTAATTGCTGAACCCGCCCCTGAAGCGCACTGGAATCCAGTGTTAGAGATGTGAGGGACGCTTGCAAGGAACTAGCAATCCTGGCCAGGCCACCTGGGCGCACGCGCGCGCGCACACACGCTTTAAGTGATTACTCAAAGAATGTGAACAACGTCATTTAAACATTCTATATTTGCAAAATTCTACACTGATAGGTGCCCCTTTGCCTCAGCGAGCAGTTTCCTCTCCATTTTTAACAGCTTTTCAGCTGTTTGGGGTCCATTAATATTGATATGAATTAAGGCTGAACTTTCACCATAGGAACCAAATTTGAGTATATTTCTCATATCACAAAAAAGCGTTATTTAAAAAAAAATACCTCGGTGTATTCAGTCAAAATAAAACAAAACCAAAAAAGCAAGCAAATATTTTCATCCAGTTTATTTTCTGCCGACTTCCTTTAGCCGGACAAGTATGTGTACTAATGGCCAGGTTTAGGCCAGTAGGTGGCCTGGTATGTGAACACGGTGGCAAAAATAAATTGGACTGGTGTTTTCTTAAAAAAAAAAAAAAAAAGACCCCTCAATTCCAAACATTCTTTAGATGTAAATCAACTTGAATTATAACTAGATGTTAAGGGTATTTCGTGTTATGACATTTACGGAAGGTATTTGTTTATATCCAAGCAAAACATCCTATAACCGGAATCTCAGCTGTCAGCCCAGGACTGTGCCTCCCACCTCCAGTTCATTTGAAATGATACTTATTTCAAAGCTCATTATATCCCTTTCCGGAGAAAGATGATGTAAATATACTTACGTTAATTTATCAATTTTAATCTCAACCTAGCAAATTCAAAGCCTTCTTCCTTGCTTTTGAATTAATGGGCTTTTAAAATATCAAAATAGTAATTAAGGAAGAGCCAGCTTTGAAAATAAAGTGTTCTGAATCAGGGCAAACACTAACTGCAGGAAAGAATTGAAGAAGAATAAACAATAATCAAAATACAGTTTAAATATATTTTACTTTAGGAAATAAAACAATATAGTAATATAATAACAATATAACATAATAAAATTGTTAATATTAGACTTTAAAACTTCATAATCCATTATCTTCAGACTTTTCAGGAAAAATACGCCTTTCCAAGCCATATGGTTGTTAATGCATTCAGTCTTTCAGGAGAAATGAAAGATAATAAAATAGAGAACACATCGACTTGTTTATTTTCATTTTCTTATATCATCACTTTGATTCGTTTTACTAACATATTTTACCCAGACACATTTTTAGGGGAGTTGGAATATGTGTATTCTAATTCTGTAAATGGAATTCTGTAAATGGAATACGGCGGAGACTCTATGACATTTATATGGATACCAGAATCCATTTAGAAAATAAGTACATGAGTAATGGATTTGCTTTAACATTAAAACTTGTATTTATGTTTTTTGAAAGATATGGGCTCTCTAGGAACATCCCAAAATTAGAGAGACAATAAATATTCTAACAATGTTTACAGGAAGACCAGAAATTAATTCCTGTGCATTCTCAGAGGTGATTGTAAATATTTTTGAAGTTATATTAAAAAACATTTTAAAGTATACATTAGGTTAAACTATCAAATTAACAAAATAACGATTTGTAAAAAAATAAAGTGTCCATTGTTTTAACCTCTGAAAGACAAAGCAACGTAAAAAGCAACTGGATGACAGGATTGCGATGAAAGCTGAGGATAAAACCAGGGGGTGAAGAGTGGACCCTCTCTACATTTCCTGATGATTATCTGCGAGTGACTTTAATCACAAACCCAGACCGACTCGACCTTTCAGGAGACAACTTTGGGGCAAGGGAGGCTGGGGGGATGAACAAGTCACTTTCTCCCGCGTGGATATTTCGCCTCTGATTGGGAGGAGTATCCGAACTGGAATCTAGAGAAAGATAAGTCATAGAACTGCCCAAAGATGGCATTTCCAGTCACAAGAGTTCTCCGCTGATCAACTGCCAGTGGGATTGACTTTGCTAACACGCCTGACTGTGCCCTTGACTGGAGAGGTGAGAGAATCAGGAGTGTAGATGTTGTTCAGGTGATGGGTTTAAGGTTCATCAAAGGAAAAGACAAATCCTGCAAGAGGCGCTGGCCTGGGCACCCTACCAGCCGGGTCCCACCTGGCATTAGTCTGTGCACCGGCATACGCTCGGAGAGACCAAGGTCTAGGGCGCCAGCTCCCTGATGTAGACTCTAGAGCAGCGGTTCTCAACCTGTGGGTCGCAATCCCTTTGGGGGTCGAATGACCATTTCACAGAGGTCGCCTAACACCATCGGAAAATACATATAATTACATATTGTTTCTGTGATTAATCACTATGTTTTATGTTCAATTTGTAACAACGAAAATACATCCTGCATATCAGATATTTACATTATGATTCATAACAGTAGCAAAATTACAGTTATGAAGTAGCAACGAAAATAATTTTATGGTTGGGGGTCACCACAGCATGAGGAACTGTATTAAAGGGTCGCGGCATTAGGAAGGTTGAGAACCACTGCTCTAGAGGGATGTAGGTTCGGAACATCCTCCTCTAACAGTGACCACCACCCTTCCCCCCCCCCCCCACCCCACCCCTTCAGGGTGGCTCTTCTCTGGCTAGGGCTGGCAACCCTCCCGCAAAACAAAATAAATTCCAGAAACCCATCTTCTCTCTCGCCCAGCATGGGTAATGAGCGACTTAAGTCATTTCAATCCTTTTCTTGGGTGCTACCGGGTTCCTTGGGGAGCCCACAGCGTCCTATGCCCCCTCGCCTAGCTGTTGGAGTCTCCAGAAAAGCCTCCCCAGATGGACTGGGGGTAAATACATTTTGCCGTGGTATTTCCACAACAATATCAATAAAGATGACTTTTAAGTGATTCTTTATTGTTGAAAGTATTACATATGCCACCCTTCCCCCGCCCCCCATTGACTCCCTCCAGCCCGCCCCCCAAGGCCATCAGCACCCCATTGTCTGTGTCCATGGGCTATGCATATATGCATATAAGGTAATAAAGATGATTGTTTAAAAGGGTTATGTCAGGTGGATGGCGACTGAGAACTCACCGGAGCCCCAATCCCTCCTGTAAGCAGATAGGGAAACTGGCTCAGACAGAGAGAGCCGAAGCTCTCTGCGCGGGAGCTCCTGCACCTGAGGGGCACAGAGCTCCCCACCCCTACCCCCAACTCTCTCCACCTGCCCCTATGGTCTTCCCCACTTTCTCCAGGTTCACTTTCCAGGACTCTCTTCCCACTGGGCAGGGTCCCCCGCAGCCCCGGGGTGGGTGCACCCAGGCTCACGAGCACACAGGGACCTTTGGCACTCCCCTGGACATCTGCTTCGGCGCCCCTCCCGCTCCCCCCTCACACACTCACACAAAAGAGCACACAGTCCACAGTCCAGGACCCGTATAACAGCAGCTACAGCAAAAGCCCGGGGAAAAGGCACAAAGAAGGCCGACAGATCCTGCGGCATGGGCAGTTACTCAGCCTGCGGCGCGCAGCGACCTAAGGTTCCCCAGCGGCAGGAGAATTGAGTAGCGGCTCGAAAGCCACTGTCTCCAAAGCTTCCGGAAACCCCAGAGGCCGGGCGGGGTTAGAAAGAAAGAAAGACAAAAAAAAAATCATCAATATAAATGAGGCAGTCCAACCTCCACACCTCCAGCCTCGCCCCTTAACATCTTGGCTTCGGTTTCCTGTCACCTAAGGGCTCAGGTCAACCTCCCCCTCCTGTTCCTATTCTGTCCGGGAGGGGGTGACCTGCCCTGCTGGTGCGGGACCTGAGAGTTGGAGAAAGAGAGAGTAAAGGCGGAGCTGCCTGGCGCCTTCAGGACTGAGGCCCAGATCTGGGCTCCACCCGGGTCCTTAACCCCCGTGGACTTCCAATCAATCTCTCTCTCTCTCTCTCTCTCTCTCTCTCTCTCTCTCTCTCTCTCTCTCTCTCTCTCTCTCTCTCTCTCTCTCTCTCTCCTTCTCTCTCCCTCTCCCTCTCCTTCCCACTCCCTCTCTCCCAATCTCCACTTTTTTCTTTCTTTCTTTCTTTATTTTTTTATTGGGCAAATTCACCTGGCGCGCCTCTAGATTTGTTTTCGTCTTTTATCTTTCAGGATCCTTGCGGGACTTGGCGGGCAAGGTGGGCAGATGCCAACGGAAGCCGGGCAGAAGGCGGACTGTGTGCTCTCCTACGGGATGAAGCTCAGTTGGGACATCAACGACCCGCAGATGCCTCAGGTATGTGACACGGCATGAGCGCACAGTCCATCCAAAGAAGGAGGTGGCATTCAAGTCCTTGTGGAGAGCAGCTACAGCGTTTCGACAGGTTCAAGCCTCGGATTAATGCAGTGGTTCTCAACCTTGGCTGCACATTAGAATCACCTGGGAATCTTTTAAAATCCTGATTTCTGGGCCTCATCCTCTGGAAATTGTTTCTTTGTTACTAATGTTGTGGCCCCACCCCGTAACAAAGAAACAAAATTTCGGGAGGATGAGGCCCAGAAATCAGGATTTTAAAAGATTCCCAGGTGATTCTAATGTGCAGCCAAGGTTGAGAACCACTGGACTGAGAGGGCACAGTCCTCTCACTGCCACGTGCAAGTCCCAGCTTGGAGGGCAGAGCCTTCTCAGCACAATTATAGCCAACAGCTGTAGTTGTAAGCTTGAACCTATGGTCTGAACACGTGACCATGTGTCTGAGTGATGTGGGCTTGATAGAGTTCAGGTGCATGTAATTGAGTAGATTAGAACAATGTAAACACCTTGACCAGGTCCTTACTTTACCTCGTGGAATCTGGCTATAAAATAAAGACTTGGCTCTCAGGCGCTGTCGCTAGCTCTCCATCAGAGAGGACAGCGTCCCACCCAGACCCAGCTTTCCTTCTCTTGTCTGTCTTTTCTCAATCCTTCACCGCCCCCTCTCAGGCTCACCGAACCTGGCTGAGCTGGCTGGGCACATAAGGCGCCCAAAGTGGGGCTGAGTATGCCTTGGCCCTGCCAGCTCGCCACAAGTCCTTGCAGAGACTGTGGACAGAGCATACACAAACACACATGCCAACAAGCACAGGAGATTCCTCATATGTAGATGGACTCTACAAAGGGCAGAGTTGGGTATCTAGATGTATCTTTGCCTAGCTCTTTCTTATGGCCTGTCCAAGAACATTGAAACTGTCCATCAGGCTCCACCTTTCCAGTCCTCTTGGGGGCGGGGGTGGGATGCCTTGCTCCTCACTTTCCTTTAACCAAGGTAGAAATCAAGTGAATCTCTCCTTTTCCATTCTTTGAAATCCATGAGAAAGGTAGGGGAGAATCTCATAGCATTGCTTCACATGCACCAAACATGTGAGACAGGACTGCAATCCCTGTGAGGGGAATGGTGAACAAACAGCATGCCTTAGGCAATTTATTCAGATTCCCGGGGGTGCTGTCTGGATGAAGCATGGCTCCTAGGAAACTCCAGTCATGCTAACCAGGCCCTGGGTGCCCACAGGGCCCCTGGAATCCAGAGTTTGGACATAACTTCTGGGTTTACTTTAATGACAAGAATATCTATGTCCTTTTAGGGTGGATTTGTGGTGTGTTTTTTGTTTTGTTTTAATGAAACAAAATGGTTTGGAGCCAAGTCCAGGGAATTTATGCTTTGTCATACTGGTGTGGGGCAAAAGCTGAGGAGTGACTTTAAAGTCCCAGGTGTAGGTGGAGGGAGAGTGGGCGTGGCCTCCCAAGCATTTGCAAAAGTGGCCTTTCCACACTGTTGTGGCTTGGGAATGAGAGGCTTGGTTTTTACTAAGCATCTAGCATGTGCCGTGTAGTTGTTCAGATGGATAGCAATTCCGTAGCAAAGTTGCGTAGCCTCTCAAAGAGATCAGCAATTTTTGGATGTGTTTTTTGTAGAAAGTTTGTTTTTTTTATTTGTTTTAAAGTCTGCCTACTCTACCGTCACACTGTATCATTTTTGTGAGAGTAGACCACAGGACAGTAAGGGCATCTCATTCTCGCTGACTTCAGTCCATATAAATTTTCATAGGAAAAAAGCTCATCTTGCATTTTAGAGCCACAACCAAATAATTAAAATAGGGCTCCCCTCACAAGCCATATTTTCTGGACTTCCATAAATGTGGGTAATTTTTCCTTTGGAGACTGGCTCTTAAGCAAGGGAGTGTGTGTGGCATCTCCAAGGGGACAGGTGCACTGGGCTATATAAAGAGAACTGGGAAAATGTAGGCTTCTAACCCTGTTTTGGCTAATTGAAGGAGCAAGAGCTAAACTGGCTATATGACCTTGAGGTTGTTATTGAATTTGCCTTAGTCTCAGGCTGCTCACCTGTCATCACAGGGCAAAATAGATAACAATCTTAAGCTCTCGGCCAGGTCGGCTGTGGTGTTCAGCGTGTGCATGTTTGTCTGTGTCTGAGTGCATGCACTCGCACGTGCCAACACATTAGAGCAAATGAAACCCAATCCTGGAGTCCTCCATTCTTGTTTTGACTTAAAAATACCATCTCTGTGGCTTCATTTTCAGTGTCACTATTTTAGTAGCTGGTGTGAGACATGGGAGTCTAGTCTGTATACAGGGCAGCACTAAAAAAATAGCCTGTTCTGGAAAACTTTCAATTTGTTAGTAAGGTCCTTAAATTGAAATGTTCACTTTAACAAGATATTAGCATTTAGTATGAACTTAGAGTTGATAGCACATCATTATATATTTCATTTGTCACTAACCTTAAGTCAATCTATTAATTTATTTCAATTATAATATTTCTAGAAAAGATAAGAATGCCTATTAGTAATAATAATGATTTCAACAATATCTCTGTGGCTTTGGAAACAAAATTGCCTATTTACTTATTACTGTTAGAATGTACAAAAGTAACAATGTGTGCAAGTCTGAATTGTCCAACTGAGAATACTTTGCTCTGCAAATGTTGGATCTAATTCTCTGGGGTGGTGGGAGGGAGAGATGTTGCAAATGTCTTATTACTGTGGTAATACTCTTCTGAGCCTCTGTCATACCAGTACAGCCAGTGGGGTCTGGCAACTCAGACTTCTGTTTAAATCCCAGCTATGCCACTGTAGAAGGTTCTCTCTCTCTCTCACTTCCACATCCTTATCTAATACATAAGAGTAACCGTGCACCTCATGCAACCTTGCTGTGAGGATTATAGATACTGCATTAATGTGGCTTTGTGGGCCATACTGTCTCTATCCTAAATACTCAATTCTGCATCGTAGTGTGAAAACAGCCATAGACAATACATAGACTCATGGACATGGACATACCCAATACAACTTTACTTATGGATACTGAAATTTGATTTTCATATCATTTTCATGTATCAAATAATATAATTTTTAAAAAATTTCCCCCAACCATTAAAAAATATTTAAAACCATCCTTAGCGTGTGCTAAAACCTGTGGCAGGCTGGACTTGGCCCACCGTCCCTTGTCTACTGGCCTCTGTCTGTACCAGGTGCCTTTAGGGCAGGGGTCAGTAAGTGCTCATTGAAGGGTAATTTTATATGAAACTGATATATAAGAAAGACATTGCGGCTTAATAATGCAGAACGTGATATAACATGATTGCAGCCATGTGGCTCTTTGTTGAGAATGACATTCCCGGTTGCTCTGGGGAGAGGCCCAGTTCTTAGCAGGCTTCTTCCCAGTGCCGGGGTTTACCTTGATGTCAGGCCCTTCATCACAACGTCCTTGAAAACTTGGAGAGCTAAACTGGGAGGAACGTCGGAAGTTGTTCCTGCCTCTCTGATCTTGCTCTGAGTGTCACTGCTAATGTGACTGACAGGTTTGGAATAGAGCCAGGAGTTTTGAAGAAAAAGTGCTGAATTGAAGTAAAGCTATTTACAGTCTCAATTGCAGTCCAGTAAGAGACCATCCCAATCACTTTTTGCCCTGGTTCTTTAATACTTAATCTGGAAATGTTTCCAACATTTAAATATACAAAAAGTGGTATAACATGGTGATAAGGAGAAAAGGCTCTGGAGTCAAACTGCTAGGGCTCAAATCCTAGACCTAGAGCCAGGTCTTACTAGCTGGGTGACTTTGGGCAAGTCAGTTAACCTCTCTGGCCCCCAATTATTATTAGGTAACACTGGGAGAATAATATTATCTATTGCCTGTGTGTTATAAAGTGTAGATGAATTGATACATGTACAGCATTGAGAAGAACAGCACAATATTAACATCAATTAGCCAATTGTCAGTAAGCTATTATAGACAAGATGAGTAGCATTTGTGATGACGTCGCTTCCGAGTTTTACAACATTTCCGGATCTAAAAGGGACCAATTTTTATTCTGATATGCTTGGAGAAATTAAAAGCGCAATGTGTTGGGTTTGGTCTTGGTAGACTTGACCGCTCTTCCTTTTGTGCGCCTGTCCAGGAGCCAGCCCACTTCGACCACTTCTGCGAGTGGCCTGATGGCTTCGTGCGCTTCATCTACCGCAGCGATGAGAAGAAGGCGCAGCG